TTGTCCTGCACATTTTAGTCGTAATGTACGAGATTTCCTCGATAATGCTTTTCGGCAAAAATGGATTGGTCGAGGTGGACCTATTCCATGGCCACCACGTAGTCCCGATCTTAACCCATTGGACTTTTTTTTATGGGGATTCATGAAGGATAGAGTATATGCCACCGAGGTTAATACAATCGACGAACTACGACATTCCATCACTGCCGCTACAGAGGACATACGTCCACGATTTCCACGATTATCGTTAAATTGGATTCGTCGTGCGCAGTTGTGCGTCGAAATGCAAGGACAGCACTTTGAACATATGTTATAAAGAGATTATTATTATTATTATGTTATTTTCTTGTTTTAGAGATTTTGTAATTTTGCATTTAAAACATTATTATTATCCGTTTCATAAATTAACATCTATTATTTCTTTTCATAAATTATGTATTAAAACTAAACAATTAAATTGTCTACTTTGACAGCTCCTTCAAAAATGAGGATGGCGTTGACAACTATTTTAATTGTTCTTTAGTGAATATCAGCGGTTCTCAAAAGTTGACGCTAACTTATTTCAAAAATTAACAAGCGATATCTATGTAACTATTAAGATTTTAACAAAACATTATTAAGAAAACCTCTTCAGTTTGACCTCAAGTATCACCCTGTATAACAAAAGATCAGCTATTCGACAATGAAGAGAGATTTTTATTATCAATTTAGGTGAATCGGACAGTGATATTTCATATAGAGATTCAGATTAGAATAGTTTTTAAAAAATGTATGTCTCTGATATATAAATTGTTACTTCTCAACAAACCTGAAATAGCACAAATATATTTTATGTTATAAAGTTATAATGTAACCAATAAATATGTAGAGTATAATATTGTTTTGTATATGTCGACATAAAATCAAATAATAATAACTAAACAAAAAGCCTTTATTTTATAATCTAAAATGCAACACTCATAACCTCGCATTCACAATTGTCCACATTATAAATATAAATGTCAAACTTTTCAATTAAGCGTCACAAAATTTTTGTTCTGAGTGTACCTTTCAAAACGATCGCGATGCTTGACCGGCCATATTGGGTTGGTCGTACTCTAATTAGCTTTAATTTGGTAAAAGAATCATTTAAAAATCTCCATAAATACATAATCCAGAAATTTTTAAATTTTTGGCCGAAATTCTGCGCTTTAATATTAATATAAAAACATATTAAAAGTTTATATAGAAGTTAGAATTAATCGGGGATCTCCCCAAACTAACACTAAAATAATAAATAACTTATCTAAAACTGCTTGATTATATTTCTGCTTTGTTTCTGGATCAAATGAAAATCTGATAACTGCGTTTCCTAGAATTCCAAGCATCAATGAATCACTTCCTTTGAACATAATTTATCCGGGACTTTCCCTAAGCGTACAACTATAAGTCAAATAAAAACCTTATTGTTCCCTTTTGATATAATAATTTATTATTGTTATTTAATGATTAGATTAGATATGTGCCAACCTATAAAACGATTCAATTCGAATACTTAGAGATGCAGTTTGTTTTTGTGAATAATCAAGCGAAATAAATTTAATAAATCTTTAATAATGGATGGTGTGCTACAAAAAATTAATTCTCAATGTATTTCGTTTTCAGTAGAGGTGGAAAAACGAAATAATAAAATATTAAAGGATGTAAGTAGATTTCCTTATATTTTTTGATGATTAAAAAAATGTTTAATTTAGGTTTTGGATAAATTCGTTGTCGAATTAAAAAAAGATCCCCTTTTTAAAGTTTTGTATCAACGCGTTTTTTATGGCGGCAGTTTTTACGATAATCTAAAAGTTGGACAACCCGATGAATTCGATTTAGATTTACTGTTTGTTTTACCCAAATCGGTTCGTTTCGAAATGTTGCAAGTTGGTGATTATCCCGGTTTTGTACAATTAAAAGTTAAAAATCCTGAAATTCTAGGGTAAATAAATATATTTATTACAAAAAATATTTTATTATACCATAATTTTCTTTAGGGATATTTTCCAAAGAAAACTAACAGACAACGGCAATTTAAGTGCCGATAAGTTACGTCGCTGGATGGAGAGTTTAGTCACGAAGGTTTTATCAACTTTTCCTCTTCAAAACGGTTATTATCAATTATCAGCGGGTGGTTATCAAATGCGCGGTAAAATGCGAAAATCCGGTCCTGCACAAACTCTTGAAATAACAAACACCCAACATAACATCATTTTGAATGTCGATTTGGTTCCTTGTTTTCAATTTGATATCGGATTACTTCCCACGGGAAGTAAATGGCGAAAAAATCCTGTTCCATCTAAAAACACGTTCTTCATCGTTCCAAAACGTCCGAAAAACATGGATAAAATATCCGATTATTACTGGAGATTATCCTTTCAGGAACAAGAAAGAGAATTGATGAATAATAAAAGAAATTTTAAACCCGCTTTGAGACTTATGAAGGTAATTATTTAAATTAAGATTAAAGATTATCAACATATGATAATTGATATTATTTAGAAATTACGTGATGTTTGTGGGCACGATGCAATCGCTAGTTACTACATAAAAACCGTTTTCTTATGGACGATCGATCGTAATGACACTTCTTATTGGAATGGAACTTTAAGTGATGTTTTTATTAAGGTTAAAACTTAATACAATTATATTATTAAAAAAAAGTAATATAAAAATGTTTTTAGATGTTAAAAACTTATATAGAGCATTTAGAAAAAGGAAAAATTGAATACTATTGGGATAAGAATTTGAACCTTTTAACCATAAGCTCAATAACTTTATCCAACTTTAGTAACAGATTGAAATGTGTTCTTAAAGATATTGAAAGATTTCGTACAACCAACCCAGAAGCGATTTGCAAATATTTTGGTATTAATTAATTCATTAATGTTGTAAGTGTACATATTAATTAATTTTTTTGTTATAGATTGTAAAGTTTAATGTTTAATTCCAACATTTTTGGTGTCCCAATCAAATAAATATGTCGGTTTGATTTAATAAAAATTTTGTTATTACTAAACAGTCCTTTATAATTTTTTCAAAAGTTTTTCTGGGAATGTTTTGTTCTTTTATGCTCCGGTGGAACCTGCGAACGTGTTGTTTATCCTTCAATAACCCGAAAAAGTCTCTTTCTAAGGGTACAAACATTCTTGACTTTCTCGGATTATAAAGGCTTTCCACGGATCGATCTCATCACTACAATACACTTGGGAAACGGATCGTATTACAAAAAAACTTTTACAACAAAAGTTGTAGCAAATTTTATTCTTAACAATATTGCTCTGTTTCACTTTTGCTCTTATATGCATAGATATCGAGAAAAATACGAAAATATGCAGATTTGCTGAATTCGTTAACGTCGGTAACACTGAGGAATATAAGCATATTGCAGAAACACTTTTAGAACAAAAGTTGTACCAAACATCATTCTTAACAATATTGCCCTCTTGCACTTTTGCTCTTAGATGCGTCAATAATGAGAAAAATATCAAAATATGAAAATTTAAGAAATTTCGTTGTATTAAAAGTTGTTAATGGTATCACTCGTGAATTGGAGCATGTTACTAAAAAACTTTTAGAACTAAAGTTGTAGCAAATTTTATTCTTAACAATATTGCTCTCTTTCACTTTTACTCTTAGATGGGTCAGTATTGAAAAAAATACAAAAATAACAAAATTTAATGAATTTATAGTTTTATAAGATTTTAATGGTAATACTCGGGAATTGGAGTATGTTGCAAAAAAACTTTTAGAACAAAAGTTGTAGCAAATTTTATTCTTAACAATATTGCTCTTTTATACTTTTGCTCTCAGATGCGTAAATATCCACAAAAATACGAAAATTTGGTGAAATCGTTGATTTATAAGTTACCATTAACAATGGAACATGTGCTTTACTTGTACATGAACTGATCAAAATTATATGTACACACTTATTAAGCAGATGTATCCGGCCGATTTAAACAGTTCAGCAATAATAAGGAAGTATGAAGCGTTTCGATATAAACATGCCAACTTAAATTATAAGAAACTGCGCATGTGCGCAATGTAATAACCTCAAAATTTTACAGATGACGCTTTAAGATTAACAATTTAAGCACTTCTAACATTGTAAGATTAAGCACTAGGTTTGTTAAGACCCCAATAAAAAGGATAAAAAATTATTTTTATTCATTTCCTTTTTTGGTAATGACCTACATTCCAAAATATTAATTAAACGCATGCGCGGAAATTGTGTTGAAGCATTGAATCACAAAATTGATTATAACCATGTTATACATATATATAACTCTCCCTACCTATATATATATAGGTTTGATTTTCTTAGAACCACGTTACAAAATGACAAAATAGAAGAAAAACACGGTTAGGGGGAACGCCACATTCTCCGCTTATATCCGGCGAGCAGAAATTGGATGTGGTAAATTAATCCAAAACGGAATGATATTGCTTGTTGAGTGTTGTGGATGGAGTTACATCCGAATCAATTTCTGCTATCCTGATACATTTACCAACGTTTGTCCGACAGGTTTATATCGCTATTCCTCGAAATAAAAAAAAACTGGACGATAAGGAATAAATTAAAAAAAAGGAAGTGGTTGAAAGAAAAGGACCAACATTAATTTTAACAATTTTAAGTTGGCATTCTGTCATTTTAGGTACCAACCTAAATGTGGATTAAAAATAAAATCCTCTAATCAATAAGTTATTTTTTTGGGATCAATAAAAAGCGGATAATTAGTAAACAACTTTAATGTAAAGTATAATCCAACAATAAATACGACCTATTTATGTATTACAAAATAAAAGTAGGAAATAAAAAAAATTGATGTATTACAAATTTTATGACATACTCATATATTGTATGGTAGGATAAGTTCTGCAACTCATTTTCGGTGGTGGATACGCTGAATTTTTTTGTAACGCATTCTGTTTATGTGCCGGTACAATAAGAGGCGCGGGCGGTCTTCTTGTCCATTCCCCACAAACAAGTTGGTTTCTTGAAGGTACTAATAATTGCGCAGTTCCCGAATTGTTGGGCCAATACTCATCGAACGTCGTTTCCGGTGGAAAATATTGTTTAATATCGGCCAAATCGATGACCGAACAGGTATCGTGCGCGAATAACTGGTTCCGAATTCCTTGTATTTTACAACAAAACTTTAAATAACTAAGATCCCACCCCTCCAATTTATACGATTTTAATTTCAACTGATCGATTTCCCCTTCGAAATAAAATAACGGCACATATTTTCGTCCATTTGAAACGGCGTAAGGTACAACGGATTCTTTGTTAATAATTACAAACCCCAATCGTTTATCGCAATCCGCTTCTTTCCCTATTAACTTTCCATAACAAATTCTTAAGAAGTCGTAAAATTCTTTTACGTCGTTAACTTTTATCAACAATTGATTTGCGAAATGATCCCGTCCGAATTGGCCGTCGCAATGGATAAAATTGATTTGGTTAAGGAGGTTTGCCTCGGCGCTTGTAACGTAAGAACTTTTGACGTTGACACAATTGTCTATATCTTTATTCAAAAATTTTAAATAACAATTTAAAGCGCCCTGTTCGGCCATTCTAACCGAACAATACTCCTCGTTATTTCGATATATTAAAGGAATGTGTACCATACCCAAAGTAAACCATCCAAACTGTCCCTTTTGCGATCTTTCATCGATGACGTCACTGTTCGTGGTCTTCAACGTTACGGACGGTTGTGGTGAAGAGGTTAGGATATCTGCCAATGTCATTTTAGTGTCACCGGATTCTCCACTCATCGCCGGCAGATACAAAATAGTTCATTAAAGATATCCACGATAACAAACAATTATTCGAGTCCAAACGAAGAACGCGGTTAAACAGCTGACTGTAGCGTCAAAATACACTATAGCCTCGCGCTAGGTATCGTTTATGAAAAGGTCATCTTAAAGCGCAAACTCGGAACGTCGCAGTAGGCTGTGACGAAACCTGTACGGCGTACCCAGAAGGAGGGTAGGTACAGTCTTTTCAAAAGATTTCCAATTTGCACTATTTGTATCATAAAAAAATTAAAACAATCATTTGTTTAATAGATAATCAATTAATAAGTGTTGTTTTCGTTCCGAAATTAAATCGATATGAGTGCATCAAAACTACTCGATTTTTCTTATCGTAATGAACTTTAGTCGTTTGGGAATTTTCCATGACAACCTCGGTGGATGTTCAGGAAAAAACGAGGCGGGTTTTAGGAGGCGGCAGTGGCTTTTCCTAACAGGATCGCATAAAATCTAAGGGAGTTCATCGAGATAGAGTGAGAGGGATCACTTTAAACACCTCCTATATCTCATAACCTCCTAATACCTCTTTCTGCCATCACAGAGTACGAAACCATTTTGTTTTTTTTTTGTTTACTTTTGTCGGATAAAATGGCGGATAACAACAGCTGATTTATAAAAAATTAAAGTTTTTTATAAAAAATATTATTTTTATTTAATAACTAATTACTATTTACGTTTTCAAGGTTACTAAAGTTTAAAAATAAATTAAGTTATGATATATAAAGTGATTTTGTATGGTTAACCTTGAACAAATAGAAAATATATATAAATATTAATATATTATTACGCAATAAATTTAAAAATTAATTCTTAATAAATTATATTACCTTATAAGTGTTAAGTTTAATAACTAACTCTTTATTTGTTTTCTTCACAATAAATTTAAAAACTTAAACTTAAAAACGCTAACTTCACTCCTGTTCAATGACTTTTCATATAGCGTGTTTTAATAGACATTATTACACGTCATAATCAGAAAAGTATTTAAATATCTTTCTGATTCTTTTGAATTTTTAGCTTGTTGGGGGAGTTTCAGTAAGTACCGGTCATAATTTCAGGGAGATATCCTCCCTGAAATTCCGATCATGTTGGCGTTTTGATGTTTATTATCTCTTAGATTTCATAGGCTTAGGTTAGGTTAGGTTGGATTGGCTTGAATGAAGTTTCTACCAAGCAGATAAATCAACAGAAAACGGCAGGTTAGTTCAAAATTGTGCTGGAAAATGATATTGAGGATTACAGATTGTTATCTATCTTATGTCCTAACCTCACTTTTCCAACCCAACTCAACCTCATTTTCCCAACTGACATTTTTTGACATTTCATTAAAAGAAAATTTTTATTCAACTTATTTAGTGTTAGAAATAAATCTATATCTAGAAATTGCGGGTTGGGTTGAGTCATCTGCCGAGATGAACTAGCCCTGATTTTCAATCTTTCTTCACCCATTCTTTCAACATGATTCCTTTAGTATCTTGACCATTTGATCACATCCTGTACCTCGCACATCTCGCGGATTCTTTCACGTGCATCGTCTTCACTTCTCGATTCTTGTAATATTAATGAGTTAGCCTAATGACTCAATCTCCAACCTGGAGAACCAATCCAGTTTTTTTTGATGGTGAGTAGTTTATTTCCCCAATATTTTTCGAGTATTCTGGGTTACATAACTTCTCTAAATTCCCATGGGGATGCAGCTGATGGAGACAATTCCCCACATAAGAAACTAATTTCCTGCTTTTTATGGATACTTATCATGCACAATCAATGAGTCATTGTAGATTTGATCTAAATCTTCACTACTGTCCTAAAGTAACTTTCAACGGAACAAGTCGATAGTGGAAAAGTTGCCTTAGCTGCTGCAGGAAAGAAATGTTAAATCTGAGCACAGTAATGTCTTCCAGGTTCGACTCAGCTCCACACCTTCCGCTATGTTAATGTTATTGTCATAACGATAATTTTTAGATGCTCGTTATCGTTTTATCATTGTATATATAGATTCTAATAAGAATTATAGATTTTAATAAAAATCTATAAACAAAGATGATAATAAAATTGTCATTACTTCCTATAACTCCCTGCATTACCGACTTAACACCCAACTAGACGTCAGCCATGACAGTTGGTGTTCCATTGTAACGTTCCGTTTTAAAGTGCGTGTTTTTTCCAGTTTTCGTAACACAACGGTGCGATTTTTGTTTGAAAATCGCCGAAAATGGGTAGGAAGAAAAAGAAGCAATCGAAACCGTGGTGTTGGTATCCTTTTTTGAATCCGTTTTTTGTTGGTTGTGTCCATAGAGTCGGTCGCGCGCCGATCCGCGGTCGTCTTTAGACCCCGTGTGACCGATTTCTCTGCAGTACGCTAAATATAGCGAGCGCGCGATCGATTTATTTTTAGCATTTAGTGGGCCATTTTCCTTAGCTGTATTTAGGTATTGTAATAGGGAGTTTGAGGACGAAAAGATACTGATCCAACACCAAAAAGCCAAACATTTCAAATGTCACATTTGCCATAAAAAATTGTACACCGGACCTGGTCTCTCTATACATTGCATGCAAGTTCACAAGGAAGCCATAGATAAAGTTCCGAATTCACTGCCCAATAGATCTAACATCGAAATTGAAATCTATGGAATGGAAGGTAAATAAAGTCTCTAAATGGTAATTAATTTTTTATTTCTTGGTTTTGTTTAAAGGAATTCCACCAAATGATCTGAAAGAACATGAACGCCACAAAGGCGGGAGTAGATTAGATTCTGATGATGATGATGATGAACCTGCAACAAAGAAATCGAAACCTGAAGGTTTACTCGGTACTGCCCCTGGTGTTCCTGTTCAGGGAATGGTTCCGGGGATGATGCCACCACCTATGGGGATGCCTCCGGGAATTCCTATGGGTCACATGATGCCTATGGGACATATGCACCCACCCTTTATGCATCATAGGTAATTACACTAATTAACTCATTAATACAAAAGTTTTAATTGATAGATATAAATTTAGTATGCCTATGATGCCTCCACCTATGATGATGCAGGCGCAAGGAGGTCCAGCAAAGCCACTATTTCCAAGTGCTATTCCAACATCATCTCCTGGAGCACCTATCGTCGGTGCCGACTTTAAACCTATATCATCTGGTAATATCTTTGATCTTAATGTTATAATTGATTTTATTTGATTAATTATTTGTAGGTGCGACAATCAGTGCCCCACCTACCACGAACAATCCTAGTATAAACGGTAGTGACGGTTCAAAAGTGCCCACAATAGCAACAACAGGGGCTACTAGTAAAATAATTCATCCCGCGGAAGATATTTCGTTGGAAGAGATTAAAGCGCGACAACCCAAATATGCAAGGTGTATGCCTAGTAAATCGTCCGAGGGTAGTAATACACCTACAAGTTCGTCCAGTGAGGTAATAATTTTTTCTTAAGATTTAGTCACCTTATTAAGGTGGTTTTAAATTTCGAATTTAATTTTCTATTAACAAAAAGAGATTGAATTGATTCCAAATGTATCACAATAATGTATAATTGGTTGATTGAGTTTCTATGGTTGTCCTAAAGATTAATTTGTTTGATTATTTCATTACATAAACTAAAGTTATCTTCAAATAATTAAATACCAACCCTTCAGAAGCTTGTGCAGATTTTATTTAACACCTTAACAGCCCTTATACCTTTTATATACACTCGAGTTGCCAAACCCACTCATGTGTTATTAACTATTAATGGAAGAATGGTAACTCCACCCATATCACTTTCACATTACAAAGCGATGTTGTATGTACAGGCTGGTTAGATAGGTCTATTATTGTTTTAGAATAAAGCTAAAAATAAACTTTTTTTTAATGTCATCAAAGAAATTAAATTTACAGTTTCCTGTAAATGACGGTACTATAACTAAAAATTATTCTACTAAAAATTTATGTAAAATTTACTTTATTTTCTAATATGTAACATTCTAATATGTTAAATTTTTCGTAATTTTTGTAATCCGTCTTAAAAAACAGGATTTAAATTTGACACCTCAGAAAATTTTTGAATACAAACAAATGTTGAGCGCCATCTATCAATAATTTATTAAGTCGTTTAATAATAATATTAAATATTAATAAAAAAATGTGAAATAATGCAATCTATTCCAACTTTTGTGTAAAACAAATATAAATTAAATAGTTCAACAAATGTATTTGTTTCAAATATCAGAAATATGTTTTTTTAATTCTTAGTTATAATTTACAGGAAACTGTAAATTTAATTTCTTTGACGACACTAAAAAAGTTTATTTTTAGCTTTATTCTAAAACAATAAGAAATAGACCTGTCAAACCCTATATTTTTTTAATCAGAAAAAAATAACGAATTCAATTTAAAAAAACGAAAATTGTCATAATATCTCAAAATCTAAAACCGAAAAAATTTTTTTGACTAGGTCAAGAAATATGTATGGAAACGGTCGATTATCTCCTAAAGTAAGATAGCTATCGAAAAATGTTAAAATACAAAAGTTGTAGTCTTTTTTAAAATCTATTACAATAAGGACAAATTAAGTATACAGGGTCAGTCAAAAAGTTATGATGAAACAAAATTACGTTTTCTTTAATGAAATACTTTCAGTTGTCAATGACAACTTTAATTTTATTATTATATTCGTAATCTTCATAAAATAACCTTTAAAATGAGTCCAAACTTGACGCACTTATCTCAAAAAACAAAAAAGTTTGAATAAAAAACATTAAACCCGAAGTTAGCAACAATGAAGATAGCAATTTAATTTTTAAATATTAATACCAACCTTAATTTTTTATTTTTTTATTATATTTTTGTTTTTGTGACGAATATTAAGACATTTTATAAAAATTAAGAATATGTCAAAATGACATTGACATTTCAAACCGGAAGTTGCTTATATCTCGAGTAATATTGGAATTGACGTATCACGTTTGGACTCATTTTAAAGGATTTTTCACGACGATTACAAATATGTCAAAATTGACGTTGACATTCTTAACCGGAAGTTGACCATAACTTCATTAATATTGAAGATAAATATGTCGTGTTTGTACTCATTTTAAAGGATTTTTAATGAAGATTACAAATATGTCAAAATTGAGGTTGACATTTTAAATTAGAAGTTAGTTACTTCTATCATATAATAGAAGTTTTATAACTGAAGTTAATCGTACTATCTTTTTATTTTTAACGTGTTTTTTGGGTCATTTTACATTGATTAAAAAAAATCGTAATAATAAAAAACCGACCAAATTTAATTTTTCTATCTTTTTCAATGTCGTTAAGTATTTCGAAGATGTTTTTAGTCGAATACAACAATTTTAATTCACACCAATCAACTTTTCCCATATTCTAAAAATTTAAATCTTCTTGAAAGCTAACTTTTCTCACTTTTTCCGTATCGATTTAATCTTTTTTTGCATTTTGAATGTTAATAAAATTATTTTTGAATCAATTCGATCGCTTTTTATCAAAAAAACTTTTAATAAAAAAAAATCTATTCATTCAGTTTTCTTTTATGTCTTATCAGGCGGCTGCTGCCGTATCAGCAGCACAAGCGGTTCGTCAACACCAAGAGGTGTTAAATCACCAAGCGGCGTTGATGCAGCGGTTTCCAATGAGAGCGACCGGCCCCCCGATTAGTATGGCCGGAATTCAAGGAGTCCCGGTCTCCTCGATGTCGCTCGTTACGCAGATGAGGCCCGGCATGTTACCGGGTCCCCCATTACTTGGGGGCCACATCATGAGGCCACCTCCGCTTGGCGTACCACCAGGTATGTGAATTTTTTCGGGAAAGACTTTTAATAAATAAAAAGAAATACAAAAAAATTAAATAAAAAGACACACATACAGTGATTATTAGATTTATTATTATTATTATACTATGTATACATACGCCATATATATATTTACTATTCTCGACTATTGCTCTTATTTTTTTTGTACTCTCTGATTTTTCTCGAATTAATAACGATGTACGTCTAAGTTTATTTCCGGTCGAGTGAACGATGATGATGATGGGATCTGAGACTGCGATTTTTTTCTGTGTATACGGTTTTATGTGTATATCAGTTGTTACTTGTAATCTTCAATCAATAAAGCGAATAAATTAATTTAAGATATCTTACAATTAATCAATAATGTTCAATTTATTATTTCATTTATAAATTTGGGAAAATTTATTTTTTATAAATGAAATTGTAACTTACTTTTTGTTCGCTTTATTGTGTCTTAATATGGTGATGATGATGATGGTGATGACGATAATATTCCGTACCGCACAAGACGACGTACCATAGCGATAGTTTCATTCTTATTTTTTTTGTACTATAATCGTAAGGAAAATATATAAAGTTATTTGTCTTAACGAAAAAATATATATATTTTTCCCGATTTTTTTTAGTATAGATTTCCTGAGTACCCTATTTTTTTATAATGTTAAGACAAAACGTTGTTACGGCAAGTATAATTTTATTTATTATTTTCTATTTTTTTTTTGTTCTTCGCTTAAAACAGTAAAAGTATTTATTAGTTCTAATCCTACATTGGTTAAAAAATAATTATTCTTAATATAAAACTATAAAAAAAAATTAATTATTAAATTAAGGAATGATTAATTTGATTGATGTAGTATTAGATAGTGGTAATAGGTTCTTTTCTTTTTAATTATTTTTTTTAATTAAAACGCAACGTAAATTTTGAAAGGGGGTTATTATTTTTATTTTAGAGGTTAGGAAAAGAGTCTACTTAATATAAATGTACTGATTAATGTTTGCTTTAAAGACAAGTTTCGGACAAGTGTCGCCGAACGGGGCCACAGTTGTTTTGCCTCAGGTACTATCGCACACTAAGTGTTGGCATGCTGCATTATATTTGTACACTTTGCTTAGTTTGCCAGTGGTTTTTATCATTGTCATTTGACTGGATTGCATCTATACTATTTATTATATATTATTATTAATTATATAACTGTATACATCTTATATGATGCGTACATCATTGAACTTTCCGTTTTTATTTTTATAAAATACTTTTTTTGTTAGTTTCGAAAGGTTAATCATCGAACATTGCCTCTTTTTTCCATCGACATCGAAATCAATCGATTTTTTATTTTTAATGATTTTTAATGAGTTATAATTAATGAGATATTTATGAACTAGAGATTAAATACTAAAATATTACAATTTAATCCAACTACTACTAATAAATAATGCTAAGTATTGTAATAATATAACCAAAACATGTCATTCATCATTTTTTCTTTGAAATTTTACATAATCGTATTAATCGTAGATCAAGTCACAAACAATATTTACAGAAATTTGATTTCATATTAGTAAAATGTTGTAAATATAATAGAATTCATTATGTTTTGTTGGCCGTTTACGTTTTTTTTATTGTATTTAATCAATGTAAGGTCAATACGAAGTAATTTTGTAGAATTTTGACAGTAACATAACCTCAAATTTCCTTTTTCATTAATTTCTTATTGTAATTCATGTTTGTTCGGTTAAAACCATTGAAATCGATCAACTTAGCATGTCAAGAACGAAAACCATCCATCATATGGGAGTTTTGATGAAGAATTGGACGAAAATCCTTAAATTAAGTATTTGAATGTATTTTTAAAGGTGGACGTTGAAATCTAAAAGAAAATGTTCCGAAATCAACACAAGCAAAGTTAATGCAACAAAACTACAACATTTCATACATAAATATCATTAATATAGAAATTTCAATAATTTTTGATAAAATTTAATTGGTGACATTTGACATTTCAAAGTTGCCCATACCGGAAATATTTAAATTACTAATATCAAGTTGAAGAATTTAACCAATCAGAAGACGTTATTTAAAAAGTTTTGGCATTAAACAAACGAAATTGGGAGATTTTAGTATGATTTTGAACGTGATGAGGGGTGCATGCTAATTTTGTCCGCGATTATTTAAAAAATCAAAACAAAAGTTAGGTTATGAGTCAATCACCATTGTGATATAACCTCAAAAATAGTAAACTTATTATTTAATAAGTTGTATAAGAAGATTATTTACGTTTAATAATAAACAAGAAAATTAAGTGGTTCCTGATACAATTAATTCCTGATTGCGAAGAATTATTTCAATCCAACCAAGAATCTTTGTTACAAGATTAAGCTAAGTTATAATTTTCAATCTCATTATTATTCGTCGTTTTTTATTTTAATTTTTATCTCAAATTTCACTTACCTAAAATACGATTAATTTGAGTTATTATTTTGTTTGGTTATGTTATTACAATTTCATTACGTATTCAATTATTAAAACTGGTTAATTTAATTTACTTCGTATTAACTATAAGTTAAAGATAATATTAATTATTTGTCTGAGAGTCTTGTTAGAATTTACTTATTTATTCTTGTACTCGTTTACTCAAGTGTTGAACCCACAAATAATCCTGAAGTCACACTTACCTGAGTCATTTGACAAATTAATAACGCTGTATCTTTAAGATATAATGAGTAGTAGATTAAAAATATTATGCCTCAGCTGCAGACGGCCTCAGCTCTTATGATAATATCGAAACTTTTGGGTTTTGACATTGATAGGAATATAGTAACCTAAGTCTATCTAATACTTTCTGGGGTTTTATGATATATAGAATTTTTACGACGTTTCGTTAACATCTCACCTGGCATCTTGAGTGCGTTGTCGTAGTCTCATGTTAATTTTTCTTGTATCTTTTATTGATGGAAAAACGTGAGTTGCGGCGTGATGAAGTGATGAATCATTGTAATATATCGCTCAAAATTAACAAACCTTGACAATTAACACCGCAATTTCTAACCACATTCCCGCAAAAAAGGAACTCGTATTTGCATAAATCTTCCCGTTAACATAAATTTGTAAGCAAGATTTCTACACAGAAACAAATCAAATGTTCAGTACTATTTTTACACAAAATACTTATTTATTCTTGCATTCACTATGCTTGGCTTAATAGATCGTTATGAACCTTGGCCTGCCTTAAGTTTCATTCAGCCTTCTTAGGTCCTCCATAAATCATCTTTTCGCCCGTCTGTTAAATATTTTTTCCTATTATTAAGAACATCTCTCACTCTTATTCTGAGTTTAAATTCCTGTTTAGTTCTGGTAGAATTTGACTATATCATGCTCGTTGTATAGTTCATTCTTTTCCTCTAATAACTGTATTCTTCAATTGCATTTGACAAGCAATTTACGGAGTTGGTTTCATGTAAACACGTCTTTCTTTATTTTGTTAAGTTGCTTTTTTTCTCTTCTCTTCCATCCTGGCTTGTTTTGCCAAATCACTGGGACATATCTTGGAATAATTGATGCGAGTTTAATTGCAATATTAAATATATGCGTGGAGTCCGCGTCCAAATTCGTATCCCAGAATTATCTCCATCTATAGAATCTACAGAATTATTTCAAATCGTTTATTGAAAAATCTTACATCCCAAAAAGTTGCAATTTCTGTATCATTATCGTCTAAATTCTAATTTCAAATAACTCTTTGTAATTAATATTATATGATATTAATATGTGATATAATCTTTGTATTTTGTTGAATCAAAAAAAGATTTTTTATAAAGATCACTACTAGTGATGTCTAGATTTTGCCCGAAACCCGAAACTTTTTAGTTCTAGGTCTAGTGTTAGTTCTAGTTTTACTGCAATAAAAGTATGCAACATAGTGATATCTTATGCTAACTAGCGCTACCTACCGCTGTCGTTTGTAAAATGAATAAGATGAGAGATGTTAATCTATTTGTAGAGTCTCTGAAAATGGCCAAGGGTCGAAACTAGTTACACTTAAATTCTGTATAAAATAAAAGACAAACTTTTAATTTTATACTAACATCCAGAAAACGACACTGGCTCGAAATTGTAGGTTCATCTACTTTTTTCTATTGTAGAATTTCTTGGTGTATCTAAGTCGGTTTTTAGACGTATGATGCAAATCGGACTTGAAATTGTATAACGTAATTGGCGCTTAGATTTATCCTTTAAAACAAATAGTATTTTATGTCTTTCGGTATTCTGCTTTTTCTAAGATAAGTTACACCTTTACCTACCAGATAGCATGACAATTTCTTCGGTCCAATTATGGTTAAATCGTTATATTATAGTGTTTAACATCTCTAGTTCAAAAATTTTCCATTTTTTTATAACTCACCCGGTATATTTTTAAAACCTTAGGGGTTCCTATTTCTTATAGACCATAGAAGATACTTTTAGTTTATTTATTTTTTTTAAATAAAATTATTTTTACTATCAAGTTGGTTTTTATTCTTAATTGATAGTGAAATCAAAGGTAAGTAAAACTTATTTTATTTTATTTTCTTCGTCTCTTCATCAATAACAAATTTATATACATATATAAAAAAACAAAAAGAAAAGAGATTGGCAATGTTCGTGTTCCAAACCAAAAAAAGAATAATTAAATAAATTTGTGCAAAGTCGTTTGTTTTGTTGGACCAAACTTCTTTGAGTAGTGAACCCGTCTTTAGATTTCGTGTTGAATTTAGAGGATATTTTTTTGACGTTTTTACACTTAAAAAATTGTTTCCGACAAAAAGGACTTTGCTTTAGCTGAACCGTTTTATTTTTAATTTTTATTTTATTTATTTTTTTTAATTTTATCTTGTAATATTACGCGTTGATTCGATTCTTCTTTCTGCCACAGGTATGATCGGCATGCCGCCTGGCGTAATATACGGGGCCCCCATGTTCCCCGCTGGACCTGTGATTGCCCCAGTCATGCAGCCACGGTTTAGATGATTGCCGATGTATCTACTCTACAACGCGCAAGTCTAATTCTGTTTTTTTTTCTATTATTATAAAAAAAACAACTTAGTTAAAAAAATGAAAAAAAAATGAAAGAAAATTCTATGCCGGTTAATTTTTCCGATGCTTGCACACTCGAACAAAATAATAATTTTTCTGTTCGTTTTTACGTTAGTTTAAAGTTTTACGCCCGGCAAATTTTTTTTAGTGCAATTAGTTTGTTAAATTATTAACGTTTATTTGAAATTTTGGTGTGGGTTAAATATGGGACGCGATTTAACCTTTTGACATGAATACATTTTTGACTCAAAATCCTTTAAAATCAATCAATTGAATTAAAAACATTTAAATTTATTTTAAAGGGTTTTTCGTCTCAACATGATACTCATATATCAAAAACGAACTGTTAAAGGGTTAATTTCAAGTTTAATTGTTTATCATTTAGTTCTTTGAATTCATTTCTTACAATTAATTTCATTTCGATCGATTTCGTTTTATCACATCTGATACTGGCTTTTATTTTTGACAGGTTATTTAAAAAAATCCTACCAAACGCCGGTATGTAAAGTTATTATTATTATTTGTTTTTATTTACCGAAGTTGGTATAATTGTATATCGGAATAAGGTCAGTGGTTTCTTATTATTTTATTTTTTATTTATTTTTTTCGTGTTTCCAATCCTACTTGAGGAAAGGTTTGTACAACATTTATTATTATTTTTTTTTCGGTTTTTTTGAACTCAAGGTATTGTAAATAAAAACGTCTTTGGGGAAAAAATAATCCGAAATGATGTTTCTAAAGTAATTGTAATAAAATTCTAGTTCTTTTTTGTACCATGTCTGTGATATTTTATGTTGTCGGGGTTGTTACATTATCATTGAAACCGTCAAAGATAGAACTTTACAGATGGTATTAATTTACTTCTTTAGTTCAGACTAAATACGTAATGTGATTCTACTTTATTATTTAAACTTTAAATAAAACGTCATACCAAGTTACCATACCGGTTTCGAGGTGATCCTCATCATCAGGAGAAAAGATAGATTCTGTTTTTAATTTTTTTTATATAAAAAGCCAAACAAAACACTAATTAGTATTTGAAATCTTGACGACTACTGCCGTGGTCCAAAGTAATGTGGCACAAATAACCTGAAGCCATACAATCCATAATCTGTATGAATCTGAGCAACACAATTTTTGTTACTAAAATCAGTTATAACTTAGAAACCATAATTGATGCAACAAAAGGATATACATAAACAATGTTAATAATGATCGATAAAGACATAATCCATAACCTCCATAAACCTAAGCCTTATTACTGTCTAGGTATAAGGCAAAACACTCCAAAATCGTGATGTAGGTAATTTTTGCTATTAAAATCGGTTATAACTTTGAAACTATAATCGATCCATCAAACCAATATGCATAAAAAATGTTAATTATGATTGAAAAAGATATAGTCCATAACGTACATAAGATTAAACATTACTATTTTCTATGTATAAGGCACAAATGACCTGAATCATGGATATAGGTAATTTATGTTGCTAAAACCGATTATAACTCAAGATTTGAAGAGATAATAAGAAAATGATATGTACAAAAAATCTTAATAATGATCAAAAAAGACATTATCCATAATCTATATAAACCTAAGCAACACGATTTTTTAGGTATAAGTCAAAAATCTCCTAAATCACTATCCTGGTTGTTTATGTCAATAGAATCAGTTATAACTCAAAAACTAAATTCGACACAGAAATGGAATATTCATAAAAAATGTTAATTATTATTGAAAAAGTCAAAATCCATAACCTATATAAACCTAAGTCTTATCATTTTTTAAGTATAAGGCAAAACTCTCCTAAATCATGATGTAGGTCATTTTTGTTACTAAAATCAGTTATAACTTGGAAATCATAATTGATGCAACAAAAGGATTTACATAAAAAATGTTAATAATGATCAATAAAGACATAATCCATAACCTTTATAAACCTCAGCCTTATTACTTTCTAGATACAAGGCCACACTCTCCTAAATCGTACTAATTCAACTTTAACCATCACCATTAACATAAAACATTAAGGTTCAGATCAAAAATCTTCGACTTTGTCTAATTGTGATAAAATTAGCCCACTTTTTTAAAGTATTCAATACAAACTCAGAGTTATATGGCAACAAGAACCATAAATTAGTTTGCAATTCAAAACGAATTAAATTAGGAGTTATTAAATCATGCAAGCAAATAACCCCAACACCACGCATTTAGTCTGAACTTCATAACACGCAATTCCTCGTCTTAATTCGATAAAGATTAAAATAAAAATAAATAAGTTCATTAAACAATACCTTGAGTTATTTTTTTTAAACAAAATAAGGTAAGAAATTCAATTTATAAAAAATTTCAAAAATAAATTGCAAAAAAAAAAGAATTAAGAAAGTAAAATTGCACTTTTGGTGTAAAATTTCTCTTCTATTTCAAATTTGATTTCCTTTTATCATCTTGTACACTGTCTCTCTTTCTTTTTCTATCTATTTCTTCGGTATTCGCTTTTCGCAGCTAGAACGACCGAAGGTAGGTCACGAAGGGTCGACGGAGAGCTTTGTTCGTTTTTGTCGTTTTATATTTTTTTTTTTTTAGATTATTCGAAAGGTATTGTTATTATTATTATTATTATATTTATTTTTAATATTATTTTAAACATTATTTTTAATATTCTATTATTTCTCATTTTACTCTCCCCCACACTTTAATTTTCTTGGTGTAAGGTATACAAATTATTTATTTATTATTTTTTTTTTAATTAATTAATTTTCGTTTAGAAATTTTCATATATTTATTATTATTATTTCTTTCTCGTTTAATTTTTTTAATTTCTTTGTTCTCTCGGAGAAGCAGTGTGTCGTAGAGAGCCCTAAATATATGAAAAGTTTTCTTTGCTATTTAGTACGAGGATTATGGGAATTATTGTAGATTTTTTTTTTTGGCAGGCGACTGATTTGTCACAGCTTTTTTTAATGGCTGTTGGACCTACGATTCCCTGTTTCATTCTAAATTGCAACTAAAAACAAAGAAAATTGTTTAACAACGAAAAATTTAATTTGTTTTGGTGGTTATTATTTCTTTTTGTTGTAATTTAAAGTAAAACAGGTGACAAGATCAACGTCACAGCTTTGCACAGCTGTTGGGTCTAGGTCCCTTGCCGCAATTTCGTGGCTTTGAACAGGCGATCCTTCGTAGGATCACAGGGTGGTGCCTGTTGGACCGAACCCCAAATATTCCCCTCAGGGTGATTATCGGGGGAGCGGTCCCCTGTTGTTGTATCGCAGTAAGTGTATTATATGTTTCAAGTAGATTTATAGATGTAACATGTAAAAAAATAAATCGTTCTTAAATAAACTATTATAGAAAAAAATCTTTTTAATTCCCAATCCAAGAATAATAGGAATTTGATTAATCATAGTTGATAAATAAGGTGAAAGTTTTAATCAGTTTATTATCTTATCTGGTTTATTTTGAGCGTAATGATTCGATGAGCCAGTGTAGCGCGAAGTGCGTAAAATAGTGCATTGTACGGAAAAGAAGAAGGAGTTAAAGTGAGTATTTATCCTTTATTCCAATTATAACAACCCAATTTAATCAAATTCAAAAGCAAAATGTAGCATATTCAAAATAGGAAGTAAGATAAGAAGATCGAGTAATAATTAGCCCCAAATCAAGTTGTTGTGATATAAATCTTAATGAAATAAGACATTATAAGGGCGTGGTTGATTTTGAAAAGTCGTTTTTTTTATTATTAATAATAAATAGCTTATCTTTCGACATTGTCGCAACCTTGGGGATATAATTAAGACTATAAAATCTCTTACTCACGGTTCTAATAAAAAAAAACCGCTCGAGTTTTTATTAAAACAATACCGAGTTAACTGAGTTATAAAGAAAATTAGCGCTCTCTAACTCAAATGAGAAATAAGATAATGTTAATGTTGGTTGACTACCAGAGATTGCGACACTTTAATATTATGCGGAATAATCGGTATCGTATAAAGCGTGGGACCCAAATGGAGGAAAATAATAAAGTGAAAAGGAAGAAAAAATACGAAACACACACTCAACTCCGCCTGTTTCTTAACACTCGGCTGGAAGCGAACGTGGGCAATTGCGAAATAAGTGAGTAATCATTTCCTGTGGAACATAAAACAGTTCCTAAAGATACACATTCCAATTATTTTATTGAGAAAAATTGTTTACTCATTCTGTGTACTTTACATTTTACGATTTCTTTGCATAATCGTTATCTTATTAAATAAATTGTTGTTTCTAAGGTAAAAGGGAATCACAATTATACACTTAATATGCAGGAAATGAAGTTAATTGAATCTCATCTTGATCTGATATCTTTCTTTTAAGGAGAGTAAACGAATTTGAATGTAAAATATTAAATGAGTTCATGAATAAAGTACAATAAGTCATATACATAGATCACTTTGCAAACTTTGCCCAGTGAATGTATTCTCGAACGGTTAAACATTTTTAAATTTAAATGATACTAGACAATACATCATTATACTATCTAAACGTAGATAAAGTTTAGAGAAAAGGGATATAGTAAAATATGCTATATATTCTTTTTTTTAATCGTCTTAGACATCTCTAAACTCGAATATTTCCTAATATCATTTTTATTACTGCCTCAATATCGTTTTTGCGATATTCCTCAATGTAATAATTCTTGTCATTCCTCAACAACATCCTGAATATTCCGAGAGACGATAGGCATTAAGAATTCTTCCTTAGACAAAAATTGTAAGAAATTTATCACACTAAAAAACGGAAAATATTTTTATACATACAGAGTGTTCCACAACGACGTACTGGAATAAACATATGTTATTTTAAATGGAATGATATAGTTTTTATTGCGTATTCTGATTCTACACACAAAACTAAATCGACTTTGATAAGACATGTTGGAACCTAGTGCTTTTAGTTTTTGAGTTATTTTAATTAGAAGCTAGATCGAGCTAGAAAGTTAAAATTTGAATGTTAAAATAGAGTGCCATTGGCTACATCGGTCTATCTTATACAGGGTGTTCAAAAATGTAACTACTATTTTACCATATTGAATTGGAAAAAAGTCGAAAATTTTAAACGGAACACCCCATATTTGATTAGTTAATCAGATACAGAATTTAATTCTCTACAATACAATACCTTGCAATACTACCCTACAATACATCAGAACTTTTTTGTCTCTTGATATTTTCTCCTAAAATTATTAGTTTGATCACAAAAAAATAAAATAATACACAGGCTCAAGTGAATTAATTCAGATTGGTTATTATTAGTCAAAGAAATGAAGTTATGTTAAATTGATCTCAGCGTTATTTTTTTTTGTCATCAAACTAACAATTTGTTAGTTGTAAAATGTCAATAGATAAGAAAGTTGCAGAGTTTTTTCCTTAACTTAGGCTATAACTTGGGTTTTGAACAAAAAGTTATATAAAAGACACCCCTATGAAATTTAATTTTCGCTGACAAATCACCCCTTTGAAATCTATCGCATCAATTTAGAAACACCTATATATTATATAAAATGTTATTCTTTCTAATCCTTGTTCTTTATAGTTCTTTAGGGTAATTATCGGTATTAATTCATCATATGAGGGCACTTTGCATTTGGGTTCGGCAGTGTATGATGTTGTCGTCTGTTCTTGATGGCCTGACTTGGTTGTTAAAACCACTCTTTTTCTATGTTATTCGACGGTGTTTTCCTTTGTAGCTGTGTCGTATCTGTGGCAGCATGTTGTATTAGTTGATGTTCGTTGTTATCTTTGAATTTTGGCTCTTTGCTAAGTTTAAAGTCTCCTAGTGTGGTTATGACATCTTGTTTTGATAAATCATTTAAAATTCTTCCACCACGTGTTTCTCCATATACAGGATACATTTGCTTTTATCTTCAGGGTCCACATTCTGTCAGAGATAGTAGAGGTAGTAGTATGGGATGTATTTAGATTTTTTGATTGATCATTTCCATCTTATCTCTTGTAGAGCCAAGTTTCTATACCATATTGTAGAAATTTTAGTTTGCAAAATTTTTCCATTTTGTCTTGAAGTGTTCCCTCCAAGTCTTCATGGCAAATCTTGTTTTGCTATTAATGTTGTAATTTGTATTTGTATCCTCTTATATCTCTTTTACTTATTTCATTACGGTATGATAGACATGATAATTTGATTTCCACTCAGTAGTGGCTATAAGGACACACAGAAATGTTTATATCTCAAGAAGTAAAAGGGGTTTAACAATGAGGTTACTTTTAATGAAAAGATCACACTTTTATTATTAATATATGGGAATTCCATAAACATTTTGTAAGAATTCGATTTTTCACACATTTTTAAACTTAATTTTTTAACAACTTTAAATATTTATTTTTTTTGATTAAATTTATCAATTTTTTTGTGAAACCCACTTAAAGATAATCTTTCCTTAATACCCCCTTCTAAAGATTATAAATATTCCCAAAAAAATTCCAAATAATATTTTTTATTTTTATCTTTAGATGGACCAAAGTAACTCATTGGAAAATCTTCATTACCCAATGTCGGGTGGGAACGTTCGCAATCTCGCAAGGTTATTCGAAGACAATTCAATTTCAAGAAAACCAAATTTCACTTTAACCAAGTCGAAATCGAAATCGTACTCGAGTTTTATGGTCGTAAAACAAGAAGCGAAAGAACCCGAAGAAAACGGAAACTTAACGTTTCGCGATATCCACTCAAAATTCGAATCGGGGCGAGCAAATAAAGTTTCCATGCAACGATTACCCAGCATTACCAATTTAGAATGCCTTAAATTACAAGAAATCAAAGAAATTAGCACGAAAACTAACGATATTGCGAAAAAAATCAAAACCAACGAGAAAAAGGCGTCCACTTTCTATTTAATGTATTTAAACGAAATCGTTGAGTTGTTATTACAAATCGGGCAAATTGAAACATTCGGAAATTCATCTATCCAATCAGAAAAGTTAGCAACGTTGCAAATTTTACAAAAATGTTATTCGCAATTACGCGGGAAACTCGAAGCTTTCTTAGGCGATGATAACAGCGAAGAAGAGGAGCAAAAATTATCGATTCGATCGTCGATACAAAGATGGGAGAGCATGATCGAAACTAAATCGCAACACGTCATCCCTAATTATTCCATGCATTATAATTTAACCGGAAATAAATGGAGCGAGAAAAAAGCAATCGATCAAAACGTCGAAATCGTTAAAAGCGGCGAACCCGAGGATGATTTAAAAATGGTCGAGCACGTTAAAGTACAAAATTTAAAAAATATTTGGGAAAGACGAGGTAGTGAAGATTTAATTCAAAAAGGTAAGAAAAAAAAATTAACTTAAGTGATTGGGTCGTAAAAGTCAAGTGAAGGGAATCTTTTAATTTCAACTTTCTATTTTATCTAGAACCAGAAATTATTTCGAAACAAGAAGTTTTCGAAAAAAATGATGTTGAAGATCCAATTGAGAAAGAATCTGAACCAATTTATGAGGAATTACTTGATATTGATTCAAATGATACTCCTTTAATAGTTATTGAAGATAATGTTCCAATTAATATCCAAGAAGAGAATGTCCAAAATAATTATATTCAAAATAATGTTGAAGATAATCAAAATAATGTTGAAGATAATCAAAATAATGTTGAAGATAACATTCCAAATAAAATTGAATCCCATTTAGAATTTGTTAATCAAGAAAAAAAACATACCGAAGAAACATTCCACGAAGAACAACAACTGCCCGATAACGAAATCGAAATTGAATACATAAACGAACCATCACAACCTCAACAAGATATTAAAGATGTTAAAAATGTTGTTGAAGAAATTAATGATGATGATGATGATGAATTTGTAATACCTAAAACGCTAAATCAATCAAAAACTGATCAAGAAATAAATATTGAAGGTGTTAATAAATTTTTAGATGAAGAACGTAAACACGTCGATTTTGAGGATGTTGATCCAATGTTTGGGCCTCCGACTGGAATTGTTCCGGATCCGAATAAAAATTATGAAACGGTTCGTATTGTGGATGAAAAACCATCAGATGATCAATTTGTTGTTATTTATGAGAATTCGGAAGATGCGGCCAATAAAAATGATCATAAAGAAGAAAGTTTTTTAATTTTGGATAATCGTTCTCCCGAGGAAATAATAAACGAGAAAAAAGTTAATCAGGAAGGAGCCGTTTTGGTTAATGGGAATGGAGTGTAGTAATTTTTATGGTTTTCGTAATATATTTATTGTTATTATGTAATAATATGATATCAATATTGTTATTGGTAATAAACTAAGTTATAATAGTTTATTTTTACCTATATCATCTAATCCTAACTTATCTAAATTGTGTTTCTTATTTTATAGTTTTATTCTTGTTAGTATCGATACTAAAGAAATTAGCAAAGTAAATGTCAAAAAGATGATGAAGTAATTAGCAAAGAATATCTTGAAAAACGATACCAAAAATGTTGGTGAAAATGGACGTCAGTATGGCGCAGAGATTAGCAAAAAACATGATGAAAAAATTTGCAATGATGATATTAAAGGCGATATTAAAATGGATGGCAAAAAAGATGCAAAAGAAATTAGTAAAGAAAAGATTACAAAGGATCTCAAAGAAATTAGAGATGAAAATGCAAAAAAAATTAAAAATGTTAAAATAGCTACCATAAAAGATGTCAAGATGGATAAAGAAACTGGCAAAGAAGATGTCGAAAATGACTTAAAAAATAGACACCAAAAGATATGAGGCATAAATTAGTAAAGAACATGACAAAGTAATTAGTAAAAATGAGCTCAAAATGGATGCCAAAGAAGTTGAAGCAGACAATACCAAAGGAGATGCCAAAATAGTTATCATAGGCGATTCTAAAATTGGTACTAAGGAAGTTAAGACTGAAATTAACAAAGAGCATAACCAAGTAATTAGTAAAGATGAGGCCAAAAAGAATGCCAAAGAAGATGGGGCAAAAATTAGTAAAGAAAATGTCGAAATGGATTCCAAAAAGGATGAGTTAGAAATTAACTAAGAACATAGCATAGCAATTAGTAAAGATCATGTCAAAACGGATGTCAAAGAAGATGGGGCAAAAAATTAGTAAAGAAAATTAAAAAAGATATAAAAAACGATGTCTAGGAACTTGACCAAAGAAGTAAAAAGGATGGTAAAGATGATGCCACAGAAATTGCTGAAGTAGATATAAAACAAGATGTTAAAAACGATGTTAAAGTTGATGCCAAAAGCGATGTGATGATAGAAATTAGCAAAGAATCAAAAATCTACGTAAAATATCATAGGAAGTTCTGATTTGAAGTTGATTTGTTCAAAATTGAAGGTGCTTTAACTGATGTCCAAGACCACCATACTATTTCCAAAAATTTTCAAGGAACTACTTGAAAATGCCTGCAATTTTATGGATTTATTTCACTTATTACTAGATTAGCAAGAAGTTACCAATCGTTTTTCTAAGACAAGACTTGAAGTCATGAATGTTTACGCAGTTCATAATTATTTCAGATTATCGTCGAGAATTTTCCAAGATTTTGAATAATTTCCGAGTGCTGCTTAAGAAAAGCTGTTGGTATTAATACAGTATATTAACTGTGTTTGAAATATTTCCAATAACTTATGGAAAAGCTAGTTTCAAAAAGTTTCAGTAGATTTCCTCAAACATTTTCAGACTTTTTAAAATTTTTTTATTTAAGACAATTTTTGCAAGAATGTAGATTAGATCTAGGTAATAATGAATAGGAAGGATTGACTTCTTTTTGTCTTTTTTTAAGAACCTCAAGACATTTTTATTCATTTGGTACAATTTTGACACCCACTTTTTTAGCAAATCAAAATCATCTTTATCATGTATCATAGACATCTTAATCAATTAAAACCGTTCTGATTCACACCAATCAACTTTTCGTATGTTCATAATTTTTTTAATTTTCTGGAAAATTTATTTCTTAATGTTATTCACTTCTTTTGTTATTTATCAAATAATCTCAAGGTATTTTAATCATTTAGTACCATTTTGACACGCACCAACAAGCTTTTTCTATTACGTAGTATCTTGGAAACAATGTCAAAAATCATTTTTTTATATTTTTCATTACAATTAAGTATCCTAAAGATATTTTTAATCAAATAGGCTCCCACCAATTAGTTTTTTTCATATTTTAGAGTCATAGAAAAAAATATTTCTTCGTATCATAAACTTCTTATGTCTTTTTGAAGTTATTTTCGAAGTTACCCAAGTTATTTTCAATCATTTTTTTCCATTTTGACACACACCAACCAGCTTTTTTTATTTTCCATTTCTTTGGCACTCTTTTAGGAAACAGCAAAATCATTTTTTATGAAATTTTAGAGATGTTTTTAGCCGAACAGAACCATTTTGATACACTTTTTCATCAAAATTCTAAGCCCCATCAACTGGTAAATCCAAAATAATTCGTTTTTTGTGATTTTTTTGTATTATTCGAGACACTTAAGTATTCTTTATAAACGATTGGTTAAAAAGGAATGATGATTAAGTCATTTTTGACATTTGCCTCTCGGATATCTTAAGTTGTTAGGAATTTCGAGTTCGTTTACTGCTACGATTAGAGAGGCAATCGGTGCGCGATTGTTATAAATACTTGAATGTGTATCAATTTGGAGGCCAGAGAAATGAAAAGCGAACCACGGAGGAGGGAATCGAAGCCGGCTTGTCAGTTCACTGTCAGCGGTTGCCGAGATCGTGCGCGCGTTTCCCGTGTTGATTCTGCGCATATCGTTTATAAGGTAAGGAAGATCTTATTTATTATTTTGATTCTTCTTTTTGCACCTTTCTGAAGTTATAAAAAAATTTTTGGTTTTAATTAAAACGCGTTTTAATTCTGTGTTTGGTGAACGTTGTTTATGTAACGCCGAAAATTCAGTGTCAAAATTAGAAAGCGACTTACGCTTAACATTGAATATTAAAACATAATTACAAGAACTGTTTACATTCTATATATTAAATTCGATAAATCGAAGCGGTTCTAATTCGAGGTTGAATTTGAAGCTTTTCGAATCAAGGTTTTGTGTACAAAATTCTATTTAAACATTTAAATGGTGACGATTTTGAAATAATTTCTTTTCGATTGCAGATTAACCGAGAAAATGGTGTCACCGAAGTCTTGAATCAAAAAATTCTTAAAAATACCTTAAAAATGGCTTTATTAAACTTTAGCCATCCCTTTCCCGTTTCGCCCCCTTTTTTCACTCAACATGGTTATACATATCCTCGCCCCCCGAGTGCGTTTACCGCTGAAGAGGTAACCCAACCTCCCCCGGTTCCTTTAACACCCCCAACCTACACAAAAGTTCAAGCAGGAACCGGCTCAAAAACGCGGATACACGCCGTCATCGATTACGACGATGATTATTACGACGATGGTGATCCAAATCAAAACGTAACTCCGCTTCAAGGGCCAATTCTTCTTAAAAACGGTTCAGTTCCTGTCGTGCCACTTTATTCATACCCGCAAGTTAATAACGGAACATTTGTACAAATCCCGGTGAGTTAATAAATTTATTTTTTTTTATTTAAAAAATATGAAAACCCGGAATCGCGGATAAATTTGTTTTGCGAACTTGACACAGATGAGTTTTCGTGCATAGAAAGCGGAAGCTGAGGTCGTCCGGGTTTTCTCCAATCGCGTTTAAACTTTTCGAGGTTATTTCGAACCAACCAAAAGGTGAATAATCGGAATGGAATTCGAGATATTTTTTAAAATTATTGCTATTAAATAATAATTACGGTTAACTCAACAAAAATATTGAACTTAAAAAGAAATATATATATAAATTAAATAGGCAATACACTTTTTGTAAAGGATGTATATAAAAATTTCTTCTATAAAGTGGGAATGTTTCATAAAGATATCTTAAGAATTCGATTTTTTAAATTGAAAATTTTCTTATTATAAGTGCTAAAATTATTATCTCAAGAACGAAAAGAGATATTCAAGTGCGGGTTAGTTCGCGAGAAAGTACGTACTTTATTCTATAAGATGGAAGTATTTCATTAAGATATCTTAAGAATGCGATTTCTTAAAAATAATTGTAAAAATGTTTAACTTCATAAAGTTACTCAAATTCAGATATTATTATCTCGAGAACAAATTGAGATATTCAAGTGCGGTTTTGTACGCGAAAAAGTACGTACTTTCTTCTATAAAGTGGGAATATTTCATAAAGATATCTTAAGCATTCGATTTTTCACAATTTTTTAAAAATAATGTTGAAAATTGTTTTTACTACTTAATTGAGGTTGAGTTAAAAAATTATTATCTCAAGAACGAAAAGAGATATTCAAGTGTGGTTTTGTTCGCGAGAAAGTACGTACTTTATTCTATAAGATAGGAATATTTTATTAATATATCTTAAGAATTCGATTTTTTGCGATTTTTTAAAATAATTGTAGAAAATTTTTAACTTCATAAAGTTACTCAAATTCAGGCATTATTATCTCAAGAACAAATTGAGATATTCATATGCGGTATGGTATGCGACAAAGTACGTACTTTCTGTTAATAAAGTGGGAATATTTCATAAAGATATCTTAAGAATTCGATTTTTCACAATTTTTTAAAAATAATGTTGAAAATTGTTTTTACTACATAATTGAGAGTTAAAAAATTATTATCTCGAGAACAAATTGAGATATTCAAGTGCGGTTTTGTTCGCGAGAAAGTACGTACTTTCTTCTATAAAGTGGAAAAGTTTCAAGAAGATATCTTAAGAATGCGATTTTTTGCGATTTTTTAAAAATAATTATTGTAAAAAATGTTTAACTTCATAAAGTTATTCAAATTCATGAATTATTATTATCTCAAGAATAAATTGAGATATTCATGTGCGGTTTTGTACATAAATATCTCACATATGTTTATATATATATATATATATATAAATTAAATGGGCAATAAATTTTTTGTCAAGGATATAATATATAAAAAGCATTTAGTTAATAAACTTTCTCAAGTTGTGAGATTAAATTCAATTTTTCAATTAAAAAGATTAAAATATGATTTATGTTGGAATAAGAATTAGAAATATCGTATAAATGGCTTTGCAGTTTATGGAAATGGAAAAATTAATGGACAGGTTAACAGATAATGATTATCGTGCTAAGAATGTTAATGAATAAATTACAATGAGTTTTTTTTTTATCCTTAAAAATGGGATAGAATTGAAGTTGAAATTGAAACGGGTTCATTAATCAATCAGAAAAATCTAAATCAAGCGAGCAAAAATAAAAAAAAAAATGTTTAGAAAATTTCAAGGTGGTTGTTGTAGGCGGGTTCGTAAAAGATCTGTATCTTTAGTTAGATAGTGGCCAACGCCTTCCGACGACGACGACGGCGGCGTTTCCTCGCGAGATCTATCGATCTAATCGAGCACGCAAGTTGTCAACCGTGAGCTGTCACACGACACAACACATTGGTAATAGTTCGAATTCCTGGAGACTGTTCCCCTGGGGCCTCCAAAGGCCACCACCATCTCCTTACAAACAATTATAGATTGTCGTTCCTGCGAGAACGCGTGAATCAAAACATTGCGACAAATTATAACGACATAAAGAAATTTAAATGTTATTGTCTCAAAAATGAAAAAAGGTTTTATTCTTGAAAAAGTACACGATTTTTTTCTATAAACTGGGAGAGTTAGAAGAAAATATCTTAAGAATTCGATTTTTTAAGAACGAAGCGAAATAATTGTTTAAAAAATCAGAAAAAATCGGATTCTTAAGATATTTTCTTGTAACTTTCTCACTTTATATAAGAAAGTGTGTACTTTTTCATAAACAAAATCGCGCTTGAATATCTCTATTCGTTTTTGAGATAATAATTTTTTAACTCAACCTTAATAATGCAGTTAAAATTTTTTTTTTTAGTTATTTTTAAAAAATTTAAAAATCGAATTCTTAAGATATTATCATAAAACTTTCTCACTTTGTAGAAGAGAGTGTGCACTTTTCATGGACACAAAAAGGAATTGAAAAGCTCTATTCGTTCTTGAGATAATAATTTTTGAAATCAACCTCAATTATGTAGTAAACAAATTTTTTCGCATAACTTAAAAAAAAAGTGAAAAATCGAATTCTTAAGATATCTTCTAGAAACTTTTCCACTGTATAGAAGAACGTACGTATATCTCAATAATATATTTTTAATTAATTTAATATCTCAATTTGTTCTTGAGATAATAATTGCTGAATTTGAGTAACTTTATGAAATTAAATTTTTTTTAGAATTATCTTTAAAAAATCGCATTCTTAAGATATCTTAATAAAATACTCCCATTTTATAGAATAAAGTACGTACTTTGTCGAAAACTAACCAGTACTTGAATATCTCTTTTCGTTCTTGAGATAATAATTTTTACACTCAACCTCAGTGATGTATTAAAAAAATTTTTCAACCTTATTTTTAAAAAATCGTGAAAAATCGAATTCTTAAGATATCTTAATGAAATACTCCTATCTTATAGAATAAAGTACGTATTTTTTCGCGTACAAAACCATACTTGAAAAGATCCATTCGTTCTTAAGATAATAATTTTTGAACTCAACCTCAATGATATAGTACAAGAATTTTTCGCATAATTTGAAAAATCGAATTCTTAAGATATTTTCATGGAATCTTCCCACTTTTTTAAAAGAAAGTGGGAAGAAATCTCATTTCGTTTATAAAATGATAATTTTCGATTTTTTAAAAACGAAGCAAAAAAATTGATATAATCTTTTCCAAGATTACAATAAATACATTTAAATTTAAACAATGTAGTAAGAGCACTTTAAGAGAATGGATCTTATGAGCAAACAAAGCAGCTATTGCTTTATAAACGGAGATCATTGCGTAATCCGGTGGGAACACGACAAAACGTTATTATTATGTGCTCTATTTCTTGTGCGTTCTCTCGTTGTCGTTGATGTCGTTTCAGCCCTTGGCCTATATCCTAGAAAGTAACGTGTCCACCAAGCGTTTTACTTTCAACAGGTCTTTGTACCCTCTCAGCCGTGACCGTTGCCATTCTGGACACGTACACATTTAAATAGTTAATATTAAAAAAGCGATTATTTTAAGATTAAATTAAAATTTGAAATCAAGACGCAACGAAAAAAAAAACATCATAAGAACGTGACGAATATGGATGTGAACTTTAAATGTTAGCGATTTTAACACACGGTGATCAGTCACGAAGAACACGTCTCAAAAAAAAACCGTGTACCTAATAAAAAAGATGTTTTAAAAGTGTATTATTGCAGATTTTATTTTCTGCAAGATTCTGGAAAATTAAAGGTTTAATGAACTGCATGGTACGGGTAAGAAGGAGATTAATGGATAGTATGACCTTCGCACGCACGAGTGTTGCGGAAAAATAGACAAGGAAAAGTCAATTGTTACAATTTAAAACGTGCCATACTCGCTTGACATTTTGAGCTTCACCTTCTCCGCGATCTAAAAAAACTATGGCGCGAAATAAGGAACTTAAACGCCGTATGGGAAAATTATTACTTTTTTAATGTTTATGGACGAACCGGTAAATGTCATTGGAAATTTAACCGCTAAAAGTTTAATATAATAAAAGTAAATATATTACTTGATTAGATTCAGATTATCTGTTATTTAATCAATAAAGTTGATTTCAAATATCACAGTTGACAGATATATAAAACGTGAAGTGGTACCAACTGTAAATTTTGATGCTATATAATCTAGAACGCACCCTTTGACACTTTATAGTTTAATAAATTGTTTAAGGGCTGGTTGCACAGTATACCGATAAATCTACCTGATGATAATTCTAGTGATAGTGTAAAACTAGAACTAATACTAGACCGAGAACTAGAAACATTCGGATTTAGCCGCACGTCACTCAAGACGGCTAAACCCAAATGATTCTAGTTCTAGGTCTTGCGTTAGTTCTAGTGATACTGCTAGTGTAAAATAAGGTTATAATAGAGTATACAAGGTTGCCAACTTGTCACAGGAAACATTTAGAAGTATTTTTCGGAAATACTAGAAGTAAAAACCCTATGTCCTTGAAAGCCATCACTTCAAAATGATTCCTTTTGATACTTAAGTCTTCAAAACTTTTATTTGGCTAAAAACCAAAATAGGTACATTTCAATAAAAGAAGAATGCTTGGAAATCAAAGAAGAAACGTTTTTATGCAATGCATACAGAAGTGATTCATTCAATGTACAGTATTAAAAGATTTGAGACATAAGGAACAAATCCTCCAATATGACCATGAATTTTGATCGCTAACAAAAGAACGAGGTAGAAAACTGATCCTTGGAAGCAAATCTTTTAATCCAAATAACTGATAAACATTGAAATAAGAAACAAGTCTGAATAAATTCCTCGATGGAAATAAAAAGAAATAGAATTCTAAAAAATTAAAAAAACGACGAAATCAATTAATTTCTTTTCTTGTATCTTATCTCTTCTTCGAGACTCTACAAGATAAACCATTGCAACGAAAGTGCGGAAACATGACTAATACTAGATTTTCTTCAGTAATAAAACTTCTACTATATGATAACTAACTTCAGGTTTAAAATGTCAACCTCAATTTTGACATATTTGTAATCTTCATTAAAAATCCTTTAAAATGAGTACAAACACGACATATTTATCTTCAATATTAACGAAGTTATGGCCAACTTCCGGTTAGAAATGTCAACCTCAATTTTGACATATTTGTAATCTTCATTAAAAATCCTTTAAAATGAGTACAAACACGACATATTTATCTTCAATATTCATGAAGTTATGGTTAACTTCCGGTTAAGAATGTCAATGTTTGAAATGTCAATGTCATTTTGACATATTCTTAATTCTTATAAAATGTCTTAATATTTGTCACAAAAACAAAAATATAATAAAAAAAAATCAAAAATTAAGGTTGGTATTAATATTTAAAAATTAAATTACTATCTTCATTGTTGCTAACTTACGGTTTAATGTTTTTTTATTCTAACTTTGTTGTTTTTTGAGATATGTGCGTCATCTTTGGACTCATTTTAAACGTTTTTTAATGAAGATGACTAATATGTCAAAATTGACGTTGACGTTTCAAACCGGAAGTGGTTGTAGCTCCATTAATATTAAAGTTAAATATGTCGAGTTTGGACTCATTTTAAAGGATTTTTTATGAAGTTGACAAATATGTCAAAATTAAAAGTTGAAAGTCCGAACTTTTTAGTTTTTTGAGATAAATGCATCAAGTTTGGAATCACTTTAAAGGTTGTTTTATGAAGACAACTAAAAGTTTTTGTCACAACTAAGCTCCTTCTTGTATTTCTAATCTTTTGATTCTATGTGTTTATCTTTCAGATCTCTTTCTTGCTGTTGTCAGTCTCTTTTCGGTGTTTCGTTTCTATGTATGGTCTTCGACTTATCTACCTAGCCATGTTCTTGGCGTTCCAACCTTCAATCAATCTCGTTATTCTAGCACCACTTTTTTTCTAAGTATTTCTAAGTCTTTCTATTAATAAATAATCTTTCTGTCTTTATTCTTTCTGTTTTGTCTCCACTATGCTTTACACAAGCTTCTTGGCTTTCCTTTTTTATCTCTTTCTTGAGATAAAGTAAAAAAATATTCTGGATTTTTTTTAATCCAGTTTTTATATAAAAGCTTTGGCAACCATAAATATCTGGCGGATAAGTTATCCTGCCTGCAGTTATCCAAACTAATTTATCGGCCAGATAACGCTGTCGGGAAATTTATATAAATAAGTTTTTCATAGAAATGTTAATGTATAATATAAATATAAATAACCAATCGATCACTCTTCCAATTCTGACTCATACTTCTTTTACACGAGGATATAATGAGATGTGTGTAATTTAAAACGTTAGATTTCCTTTTGGTTAGGAGTCACGTTCAAGATATATCTTGCAATATAAATTATCTTTCACTTTTATCATCCAAATCATTTTACTTATTTAGTAGAGTATTCGAGTTGATGACCTAAAAGCCGAAGGACCTTTAAAAAATTTTAATCCGAAACGTTTAAAAAATATTGGCACAAAAAAGAATATATTCTTCGTCGGTGTTAAATAGCTCCCACTATTTTCCACACAACGCCTTGTCCTTGCGGTTGTGTCATCGCCTGTACATCAATGTTTAAACAGTTCCACACGGTTTGCTTTCGACGAAGCTGTGCAATTAAAAATAGAAAAATTTTTTAAACGAAATTCATAAAAAAATAAATAAGTGATTAAATAAACCGTTTTAATTAAATTATAATGAAGAATTTGCAATTATGGATAATTTGGTGAGTTCATAAAAAAGATATTATAACAATAAGATTAATTGTTATAAAATCAATTTTAATTAACATTAAACTTTTATTAATAAAAATAAAATTAAAATTAAAGTGTTATGACCTGAATCGTAATAATGACTCTTTGAAATTGTTTGTAAATTAAACTACTTCAAGGTTCGAAGTACAATATGCGCCTTAATTGTATATTAGATGCAAATCTTCAATTTATGCAATTATAAACTAAATTTTTATTAAAAAAATTTTTTAGAATGTTGTAAATTGGGTGTGTAAACAACACCGTTAGCTTATTATCGCTTATTTCGCACAAATCGAATGAAGCGGACAATTTCATTAATTTCTCATATACGCTTAGCATTAATTATTTGCGAATAAATTACGAGGCAAAACGGTCTTAATTGCTCCGAGTAGGGCTCTCACGTGTGATTAACGATCCGATTTTCAAAACAACATTACGGTTGTTCGATTTAATTTTATTTAATACGAGAACGTAACCACCTCCTACTCGGGATTTCCAGATCGAATAGGATCTAAATTGTTATTCAGCAAAAATAACACCAAATATAATTTTTTTTTAATTATTCGCTTTTTATTTATTTGCGATTTTAGATAAAACTTGTTTTTTTGGGTTTAACATATTTATGTCTTAAATAGGTTGTTGTTTAATTAATTGTTTAACAATAGGATTGTTATAGATCGAAAGTTAAGACCTTGACACGCCCCGTTCGAATTCCCCCGCGATTTATTCTTACTTCCGGCCTATGAAATGACATCAAATAAATTAATAAAAATTGTGGGAGTATTTTTCTGCTTAATTAAGCGAAAATTATCGTGTTTTCGTGGTTCGCTTGATAAAACCTTGACGTAATTTTCGAGAAAATTTCATTCATCGTCAGGTATCGGATTTCCGCGTTTTTTTTTTGTAAGGAATCATGGTTCATTCAATTCTATTAATAGAGCAATTATGTGATTCATTTATTAGAAAATCTTCGTAAATAACATTTTTTGATCTCTCTATTTATATGTGTTTTGTTCTAATTTCATTAAAAGTATTGAAACCAAATTTATGCAACACTCTGTATATTATTTCTTTGACATTAATATAGTATTAATTAAAAATGTCAATAGTTTATAGTGTTTTGATGAGTTGTGCAAAATACATCGTTCTCTAATCCATTATGCGAGGCAATATCATCAACTTTCTAGTTCTAGGTGTAGTGTCAGTTCTAGTTTAATAAAAATATACAACATAGTAATGTTTTATATTAACTAGCGCTATCTACAACTGCCACTAGAACTAACACTAGACCGAAAATTAGAAACATTCGGATTTAGCCGCACGTCTCTCAAGACGGCTAAACCCGAATGATTCTAATTCTCGGTCTTGTGTTAGTTCTAGTTTTAGTTCAATAAAAATATACAACATAATATCTTATGCTAATTAGCACTGCCTACCACTGCCACTAGAACTAAGACAAGATCTAGAACAAGAATCATTCGGGTTTAGCCGTCTTGAGAGACGTACGGCTAAAGCCGAATGATTCTAGTTCTAGGTCTTGTGTTAGTTCTAGTGCTAGTGTAAAACTAGAACTAACACTAAACCGAGAACTAGAAACATTCGGGTTTAGCCGCACGTTTCTTAAGACGGCTAAACCCGAATGATTCTAGTTCTAGTTTTTGTGTTAGTTCTAGTGATAGTGTAAAACTAGAACTGATACTAGACCTAGAAACATTCGGATTTAGCCGCACGTCTTTCAAGACGGCTAAACATTTTAATCTAGTAGCTCGTGAATGTTTTACACTGGATGTTATTTTTGTCCAAATATCAAGTAGCGGTAGACACAAAAGAACAATTGAACTTTAATCTAGTAGTCAAACGTCAACCAATGCTATCAATCTATTGACTCCATTAAACGACGTTTCAATTTATGTATTGAAAAAGAGGGAAAACATTTCGAGTATTTTTTGTAAATTCCTAATTTTTATTTGATGTAAATTTTTAATTTTGAGTTTCAAAAAGTAGATGTTTATTACAAAATAAAGTTTAATTGTGTCTTTTGTGTCAAAAATAACATCGAGTAAAACATTCATGCGTTCAAGATGTTATTTTTTGTTATAACATCTTCTTAACATCAAGTTTTATTTTTGCTTGCTGTTGTCAGCTTCTGTTAATTGTATTGTATTTTTATAATGCTTTCATTTTTTTTGTATCATCAGCTTATCTATCTATCTATTCCACCAAAGTTCCTTCTTGTGTACCTATCTCTCTTCAATCTTTTGATTCTTTATGTCTCTTTCTTGCTGTTATCAGTCTCTTTTCTGTTTTTCGTTTCTATGTATGGTCTTCGAGTTATCTACCTAGCCATGTCCCTGGCGTTCCAGCCTTCAATCAATCTCGTTCTTCTTATCTAAAAGAGTTTCTTATCTTTATGGTTCTCCCTCCTTATGTACCTAATCTCATTCCTGACTTTCCAGCATCCGTTCAATTTCGTTCTTCTAATACCAATTTCCTTCTAGTCTATCTGTTCTTTGTGTAGTCTCTATCTTACATCTACAGTATTCTTGCAGTCTCCCTTTTTACCGCCAAGCTTAGTTTTTTTGAATCCAGTCCATTTTCATCTTTCTTGTATTTACCTTCTTATCTTTACAGTTTCTGTTGAATCTTTATTTCCAGTCCCTTTCAAATTTTTTTTGTTGATTTTCTTGGATTTAAACGGTTTTGACGAATTCTTAGTGTGATAAAAAATGAATACTTTCTAACACAATAAATTCCTTTCTAAAAATATCTTTTAATGTTTTCATTCTTGCGTTAGAAAGTATTTGTGAATTTGTAGCTTTAAAATCTTCTACATTTCAAAACGTAAAATTTCACTTAATATTTATTAATTAAATATTGAATTTAATAAAGCTTTAAAATTAAGCAATTTTGAAATGCTTTATGGCTCGTTTCGCAATAAATTTATTATCAATTCGCTTTTATAACCCAACGCAACAAAAATTAATTAAGCATTAAACTAAAATGGTAAATATTACTTTTAATAACATCGTTGTAAAATGTAATTGAAATGTCAATGAAAAATTGTTTTTATTTTTTGTTTAAGATATTGTGGACCGCCTTATCGTTAGCTTTAGGTGTAGAACTTCGTGGAAACCTAATTCGAGGCGTACCATGTTACAAAAGAGACTATCAACTTTACTGCCCAACGGCGGGGAATACTTATCCTATGTAAGATTTGATTTTAATAAAGTTGATTTGATTCAATTACATTAATTTTGTTTTTAGAGATCGAATAGAATTATTTATAGATGAAAATAAAGCCCTAATGAAACGGATGTACGGGGAATTCTCGATGAATTCCCCGCCCGATTACAACTCTGCTGCGTCTCCGGGGACCAAATCGAAGAGATCCGTTAAACCCGGAGTTCCAGATCTACACGCAGCCCCCGGACCAGATCCCGTTTTTGACGAATCCGAGACGATGTTCGGAAAAAATAGGGAGGTTCGACAAAATTTTAACTTTAGGAATAAAAGCGAAAGCGGAAGGTAATTAATTAATAACAAATTAATAATTTTCTTTTTTGTTAAAACACAATCGTACATTTTTATGCACCACAAGATATTAATACCGCAAATGTTCTTAATTTCTATTTAATTACAGTAAAAACTCGATTAATTATCATTTTTAGAAATAAATTTGGATAGAGGAGGTCGGATTTATTCAAATTGATACCCAAGAATGTTAGTTTTGGTGGAAAAATAAAAAAATTACGTTGAAATGTCAACAATGACAGGCGGCCATTTTGTTTTTTATCTCTATTGTTTATAGGAAAACTAAAATAACTAGTGAAATAATTAAGATAACTTATTCGTGTTTGGACTTAAATTAAAGCATTTTTAATTTATGATCCAATTAGATAGGTTACAATTAAAATATGTAACATCGCAACCATAGAGGTGTTCCTGTAATTAAGAACGTTTTAATTTTCTTTTTAATATCTTATGTTAACTAGCGCTACCTAGAACTAACACTAGACCGAGAACTAGAAACATTCGGATTTAGCCGCACGTCTCTTAAGACGGCTAAATCCGAATGATTCTAGTTCTAGGTTTTGTGTTAGTTCTAGTGATAGTGTAAAACTAGAACTAACACTAGAACTAGTAACATTTGGTTTTAGCCGCTCGTCTCTCAAGACGGCTAAACCCGAATGATTCTAGTTTTAGATCTTGTGTTAGTTTTAATGATAGTGCTAGTGTAAAATAAGGTTATAATAGAGTATACAAGGTTACCAACTTTTGACAGGAAACCTTTAGAAGTATTTTTCTGAAATACAAGAAATAAAAATCCTGTGGGTTCATATTATGTTATACAAATCATTTAAGATATGATAAATAAGTACAAAAAAGGAAGATAAATCATTGAAAGCTATCACTTCGAAATGATTTAGAACTAAATTTGGATAGAGGAGGTCGGATTTATTCGAATTGATACCCAAGAATGTTAGTTTTGGTGGAAAAATAAAAAAATTACGTTTAAATGTCAACAATGACAGGCGGCCATTTTGTTTTTTTATCTCTATTGTTTATAGGAAAACTAAAATAACTAGCGAAATAATTAAGATAACTTATTCGTGTTTGGACTTAAATTAAAGCATTTTTAATTTTTGATCCAATTAGATAGGTTAGAATTAAAAAATCGCAACTGTAATTAAGAACGTTTGATGTAAATGTATCTTTATATGTTTTTTTTTTGTTTATACAGATTTTTTTTTAAGAAAGGTTCTGGTTTATTTTTATTATTTTTTGTGCTAACATCACGCAACTTACATCATCTCAACCGAAAAATTAAAAATTGTTTGAAATAAATCATAAAAGAAAAAAGGATTTGTTTTACAGAATCGACGCCTGCGAAAGTAGGAGGGAAGTGATTTCGCCGTTTTGGTTAAATAATACGCAAGGGTCATTGAGAGCCATCGTAAATACGCAAGGTTTCGAACAGAGCATAGACCAAGAGGTTTGCTCAAAAAACACGACCTCGCGTTGTTCGGATGATTGTGGTTGCGAACAAAATTACAAGTTTATTCGTTTGTTATCTTATGACCCTTCCAATGATTGCAAAGGGATTTTTATGGATTGGTACCGAGTTGAGAGCTGTTGTATATGTCGATGCGAATTAACATAATAATTAAAAAATTAATCTAGATGTAACGAAATTAAATAAAAAATTAAAAAATTAACTTACCTTTTTTTGTAGTCATCGCGATATAACTCGATTACAAATTAATTTTTGTTATTAATTTTTTAGGGTAGATGCTTGTGAGAGTAAAGTGGAGGTAATCACACCGTTTTGGGCATCGAATTCAGCGGGGAAAGTACGTGCCATTGTCAACACTCAACATTTTGAGCAAGCGATTCACCAGGAAGTTTGTTCGAAAGCGAGGACTTCGCGGTGCCAAGGGGATTGCGGTTGCGAACAAAAGTACAAATGGTATCGATTGTTGGCTTACGATCCCGACAACGATTGTCGCGGAATTTTTATGGATTGGTTCCTGTTTCCTTCGTGCTGTGTCTGCCGGTGTAATCCAACCTGAAAATAAAAATTAAATTAATAAATAAAATAAAAATTATTAAATATAAAAAAATAAAACGTTCTCATCATGATCATCTCGCGTTTTCATTTTAAAAATATTGTTTAGTGCCAAACTGAGACTCTCAAAATGCAGTTACCAATAATAGTGCTATTTTTTTATTTTTTTAATAGTATTTTTTTATGTGTAAGTTTTTTTTAAATTTATAAATAAATGGACAAATATTTATAATATCAATTTTTTGTAATAAATGATTTAATTTTAATAAATGGTTTCGCGTATCCAAACAATTTCATGCGTTACAACCAATCTGAATTTACTATCAAATCAATGAACCTTAGGCTTTGTCGTTCAGCATAATAATTTTTAAATAATGAATCAAAAAATTGTGTCAAATGAAGTAATTATTTTTTTAACGAATGTTCAAATAGTCGACTATTATTAGAATAGTCGACTATTCAAATATTCGACTTTTCGACTAATAAATTATGAAAATTATTCGAATTTCGATTATTCGACTATCCGAATTATTCGAATACGATTCCGAGCTCTAGTAGGTAGCCCTAGTTAGCATAAAATATTACTATGTTGTATATTTTTTATTGAACTAAAACTAGCACTATCACCAGAAATAACACAAGACCTAGAACTAGAATCATTTGGGTTTAGTCGTCTTGAGAGACGTGCAGCTAAAACCGAATGTGTCTAGAACTATCACTACAACTAACAACAAGACCTAGAACTAGAATCATTCGGCTTTAGCCGCACGTCTCTCAAGACGGCTAAACCCGAATGATTCTAGTTCGAGGTCTTGTGTTAGTTCTAGTGGCAGTGGTAGGCAGCGCTAGTTAGCATAAGATATTACCATGTTGTATATTTTTATTGAACTAGAACTAACGCAAGATCTAGAACTAGAATCATTCGGCTTTAGCCGTTTAGCAGTTCTAGTTTTATACTATCACTAGAACTAACACAAGACCTAGAATCATTCGGGTTTAGCCATACTGAGAGATGAATGTTTCTAGGTGGTCGGCAACATCGCGAATTTCCTAATGTAATTTTTGCTTAAAACTGACCAATAGCAATCCTTCTTTTTGGCGCTACAATTTAAAAACACTCCTCTGAATTAAAAAATAGAGTATAACAAGTTATAATTAATTACAACCTCTATAACTTTGATAATATTCGTCACACAATAAATTTGGTTTCGTTTTCAGTTAGAAAGAGAATACCTTACCTTTGATATTTATATAATTTGATATCTTTGATTTGCTTCATTAAAATATGACCATCATTATTCCAACATTTTATTCCATGAGGATTATCTGGAACGATCTGCAACATAAAAGGATAAAGGGAATAGATAACGGATTAAAAAATGTTTAGGATTGTTTATGTTTATTAAAAGAAATTAATAATAATAATCACATCTTTTATTTTTCTCGTTAAAATAAAAAAGAGAACACTTAGGTTGGTAAGGTTAAACCTTACCGGATATAAGGACTTTAAATTAAATTAATAATATAAAAAACACCGGGATTTTTGTGACTATTGTTTCTGATAGAAACGATTTCTTTTTCTTTTCTGCTCTCGCTCTCGGCCGTTATTACATCACTTTTTATTCGATTCGGATAGGAATCTCGACACATATATTTTATTTATTTATATTTATATATAATTAATATATAAAATCGCTAGAGGACAAAGATAGATCGGTATCTACAGCGTTTTTTTTCTCTTCAATATCGTCGATGTATTATCTACAAACTAGAAAACGTAATTTTTCGTAAATGAATTTTTTGTTGATAAAAAATTTTTTAAGGGTCGGCCCGAGGCGATCGCCGATGGAGAATTCTCTGTACACTTTTTATATTACAAATTATTTACAAAAAAAAAATAATAAAAATTAAGTACGAAACGCGATAAATGCATATACAATGTTATTTATTTATTTAATAAAGTTTAATAAGTCAGATCTCGATCGGGGAGTATCACAAACGTAGTTTTATTTTCTCTTTTTCATTCTTTTTAATTAATTTAACGATCGCCCACCGACCCGATCACGAAATAAATAATAAATACGACTTAAATCATTATAATTGTACTCTACGCCTGATTACACATAAGTTACGACAAAAAATAAAAAGAAAAAACATTCAAATAAATAGTCCGAGGAGAAAAACGATAATCTAAAAAGGACGCACGAGAAGCCGTTTTTATTTTAACTTTATATATTTACACAAACGCACTACGTCACTCACTGGGTACGAGTTTTTAATTATTTCTTTTTAATTGTTTAAAAAGAAATTTAAGGAAAAACAACAACTGGTTGAAAAGGAACGACGAAAAATGTATGAGTTATAAAAAATTACCCGTTATTTGTACTTTTGTATCTTTTTTGCGTTTATGAAATATTACTTTATTTGAGTTTAATTTATTATGAAAAAAATACTAAAACGTCAACGAAATGCATATATACAGAGTGTTATTAAGTACTCAAATTCGTAATGAACAATCTTTTGATATATTTGAGATTTATGGCTTAATAAAATGTTGTCTGACAATGTTAATAAGATTTTTTTAATACTTGTATGAGATTATTAATGAAGCCTGTTGATTAATGTCACTATAACTGTCAGAAAAATCAAATCTGACACAATTTGAATGAATGAGAATTGAATTTTGAAAAATTTATGCCAGATATCTAACCATTGTGAGAGGTTCCTAAAGATTTTGACGATTTTTTAGACTTTTATCAGATTTTGTAAAATATATAAACCTTTATGTCACATTTCTAACAATGTTTTATGAAATGCTGGATGTTTTTAAATATATTTATCAGATTCTCAAAGTTATAGATGATTAACATTGATGTAAATAAAATTTAACAGTTTTTTGACAATATTGAACGATTTTTGATGATTTTATCAAATTTCTACTAATATTTATCCATTTTTTTATGATTCTAATTATATTTACCTAATTTTCCGTCGACCGTGTATTTATACGATTTATAAATGTATACAAAATCATACATTGACACCTATTAATAAACGATTTTAATATAAAAATTATTTAACCTCACTTTTAATGTGTCAAAAGTCAAAATTTATTATTGTAGTCTTACCAAATAGATATAGTGGTCGGTTGGGTCGGTATTACAGATTTCATTCGAGAATATTTACTAAATTGACTACTATATTAGTTCGGTCGGACTTTCTTAAAGTTTGCCAGTGATAAAATTGGGCGATTTTTCAACGATGGATTTTCTCTATTTTGTTGAAAAGACTTAACTAACTCGTATATTAATATCTCGATAATTAATCGCCTTCATTAACACACTTGTTGGTTAAATAACTATTAATACTTCTATCAAAATTTTGATAATTTCCAACAATTTCCAGCAAATTTATTAACATTTCTGAAAACTTTGTAATGATATCTGACAATATTAATACGATTTTAAAAGATTGTAATATTTGCATCAGATTATTAACGCTATCTAATGATATCTGACAGACCTCTGAGGTTATCTACAAAGTTTATCACATTTCTCATAATTTGAAACGATTCCTAAGAGATTTATGACAAAATAATATTAATCAATTCGTTTCATGTCATTATCTTTTTTTTATTATTATAAGTAATAATTTTTGTAATCTTTGATTAGATTTTAAGAATTTATCAGATGTTTAGTAATTTTGAGCTATTTGTGGTGATAATTACGAGATATTTAGCAATTTTTAAAGAATTAATAAATAATTATTTGATTTTTATGAGAGTTTGAACCATTTACAAGCATTTTCAGCCATTATCTGATAGCTGATAACATTGAACAACTTCTAATCGTGTTTATTTCGAATATTTACGACTTTTAGTATATTCATTGTTATCAGATTCTTGATGTTTTTTAAAAATATGGAATGATTTATCACGATATTTATCTGATTTTGAATCATTTTTGGATAATTATTACATTTCTGACCACTTTCTATGTTTATATAAGATTTTTATCATGTATCTGATTGCTAAAGATTTCCTTCAAAATTTTTGACAATTTCTTTTATAACACCCTGTATATTATCATCTATCATTTTGACCTCATCATATAATTTAAATAACTTATTAAAATACTCTTTTTGTTTACGAATTAATAAATAAAAATTATAACTTACGTTGATTCCACGCAAATTTTTTTAAGCCTTCATTAAGTAAAATAACATATTTGAGATCCAAAAAAAAAATTATGTCTCTTGAGTTTTCTAATACTGTAAAAAAAAATAAATTTAAATTGTTTTTAAAAAAATATCTTTCCAATTCGAAAAAAAAAAAAAATAAATTATCCTCATACATTTCAAGTCTTTTTTCTATCTTCATCTTTCAACTCGTTGTTTAGATCCTTCCAAATCAATTCTCAACCCTCGATCCTGCTATCGAGGCTCCTCCTTTTTGTGTAAATCAGTGGGAGGTGTCGCGCACAATTTATGTGCAAGAGGTGGGGGCGGCCCGGGGCCCCTCAAATGCATCAACGCGGGGTCTTTTGTCCGTAATTGCGCCGGATGCGGCGCATACCCACCGAACAGTTTCGCGCGTTCCTCTTCCGCTCGCATCGCGTCGATCAGCGGATTGTATCTCAGGTGGTCGTATCGGTAAAACGCGTCCGCGGGAGGCGGCGGGGGCCAATGGGAAGTTGGCGGTTGGTACGGATGACCCAATGTTTGACTAAGCATACGTGCCCGATCCAACATTGGGGGTTGCATCGCGTGAGCTGGTGGACGCAGGTACGGATGGTAGCGGGGGTCGGTTACGCGGGCGAGTTCCTCTTCCTTCGAGCGAGGTTCCTCTTTAATTCGAACGACTTCCCCGTGATCCAAAAGACCATTTCTGTGTGGGGATCGATCGCGTAGAACTGGATTTAGGGCTTTTGACGATTCGAGGCGTTGCTGATGGAGAAGTCGTTCGCGTTCACGTTGTTCTCGTTCTAATCGTTCTTGTTCGCGGCGTTCTTTTTCACGACGTTCACGTTCTCGCTCCTAATTAACACAAAAATAATTATTATAAGTATATAAAAATAAATTAATCGATTTATCGTATACCTGTTGTTCTAATCGTCTTTGTTTTTCTTCCCTCTCCCTCCTTTCGCGTTCCTCCCGTTCCCTTCGAAGTCTTTCCCGTTCCCTCTCCTGTCGTTCGCGTTCTTCTCGTTCCCGTTGTTCGATGAGTGGATCAGGTTTCATTGCCCACGGAGCGGGAGGTGGTAATCCGGGTAAACTAGGTGGTAGGGCACTAACACTAGGAAATGTTGGCACTGTCCGTTGGAGACTCCGCCAGGGATCGTGTAATTGCAACCCCAAATCTCTTCCGCCGGCGAACGGCGATACTCCAAAAGGAGAAGCACCCGCTGGACTAAAACCAGTTGTACCATAACGGGTGAATGGAGATATTGTTGATCCTATAATCAAAATAATTTATTAATTTCAAGATAAATCTTATTAATAATTAAAGTTTGATACTTACTACCTATATGTGAGGCAGGACTTGTAAATAAGGAACTGTGGTGTGGTGGTTGGTCGTAAGTTGGTGGTCGATGAGGCAGCGAGGGGGGAAACGATGATAGATCATGTGGTCGTGTCGGATGTACACTGGGTGAAAACAGATGCGTCGGTGGTCGTAATAGATCTTTGGCTGGACCAGATTTGACTTCGCCGCTTTTCTGTTGGTGATGATAAATCTCCCACGCTATCCGCACGTGCATCGCGTTCCACTTGCCCGTTTTCTAAACCACAAAAACAAAAGAAATATATTAATCAAGCTAATAACAATAAATCAAAACATTGATTGATGATGATGAGCTAGATATTGGGGCCATAAAGCAAAGCCAATAATATCCGAGATCAGTATCAGGAAGTGTGAACCACCCGAATATTATTACGTACCGTGGGTTTGGGTTTGCTGGGGTCGGGCACTATCGCCTGTGGACAAGAGAAAGCGTTAAAGCAACAACCGAGTTAGTTAAAAAAAAACGGAGCAAAAAATTAATTTGTATTATTTCAACACATCATGCGTTTTATCATAAAATTTTAATGAAAAATAAAGAATCATATTTATCGAAGGGTAAATATTTGGACCACATTATACATTACTTGACTAAGCGACATTTTATCGTTTTTAGAGATATTCATGCTGTCTGGTAGGTAAAGAGGATATTATATATCGACTAGTTCACTTTTAAATGTCAAAAATAATTTGATTTTTAATTAAGAAATTAAAAATGCTTTAAAGTGAGCCCAAACATGACCTGAATATATTTTTTAATTATCCAAAAGCAAAGAAAAAAATATGACGTTGACAACCGGAAGTACGAAATTTCCTTTTTGACGATTTTGGGTTCGATCTTCTTCTAGGAAATTAAAAATTCTTTAAAACGAGTCCAAACACGACAAGGTTATTTTAAAAAATGACTGAGATATAACCAAAAATAACTTAATTAAAAAAAAAATAATTGACGATCGGTGTTTCTTTAAAACATATCTTCCTTATTTTTAAAGATAACCCCATCGTGTTTGGGCTTAAATTAAACGATTTTTTATGAATATTATAAAGAGAAATGAATCTGGAAAAAATAAAATATAATAAATTTGACGTTGACAACCGGAAGTAACAAGTAATATTTTGTTTTTGAAGATTTTTGGTTAGATCTTCAAATAGGAAATGAAAAATCCTGTAAAAGGAGTCCAAACACGACTAGATTACGTTTAAAAGTAACTGAGATATAACTAAAATAAAAAAAAAAAACAATCGAAGATCGATGTTTTTTAAAACACCATATCTCGTTGTTTTTAAAGATAAAATCATCGTGTTCGGGCTCATCTTAAAGGATTTTTAATGAATAACATAAAAAAGAACGAATCAAAGTAAAAAACGGAAGTCGTTAATTGGAACTTGTCAACCGGAAGTACTCATATCTTCGAAATTTTTCACATCACAACGATTAAAAAATCATATTTCTATTATTTTTGGAGATAATTTAAAAAAAATGTTCTAAAATAACATTTGAAAATAACCGAGATACCACCAAAATTAACATAAATTTTTTAATTTATGTTACAAAAACAATCGACGATCGTTGTTTTTTGAAACGCCATATCTCCCTTGTTTTTAAAGATAACCCCATCGTGTTTGGTCTCATTTTAAAGGATTCTTAATAATTTAATTTTTAAATGTTAATACCAACCTTAATTTTTGATTTTTTTTATTATATTTTTGTTTTTGTGACAAATATTAAGACATTTTATAAAAATTAAGAATATGTCAAAATGACGTTGACCTTACAAACCGGAAATTGCTTATACCTCGAGCAATATTGGAATTAAACGTATCATGTTTGGACTCATTTTAAAAGATTTTTCACGACGATTACAAATATGTTAAAATTGACGTTGACATTCTCAACCGGAAATTAGTTATCATATAATAGAAGTTTTATAACTGAAGTTAATCTAGTGTTAGTCACTTTTCCGCACTTTCTTTTTATTTTTAACGTGTTTTTTGGGCCAGTTCACATTGATTAAAAAAATCGTCGATTTTTAAGCCACATGATGATTCTTGAAGTTTTCCCAAGTGTCTTAGTTATAAGTGACAAAGGGTCTATTAGTAGTTTAGTAATATTTTTTTCTACATTACCCAAACATTTCTAAGAATTTGATAATTATTAAAATGTGTGCAATCGCGTTCTAGATAGTTTTGGAGATTCCTATGCGATACTTGTAGATGTCGAAAAGTCTCCAAAAGCCATCTAAACATTTCCTTAATAATTAAAAAGTGTCTAAACACAAACAAAAATTAGGCACCCCAATTTCTTTTCTAAATTTTTAGGGCTGCACTCTCATAGTTTTCTTAGACTTATTAATTTTCGCATTTAGGTTGCAGTTAAGGTCTAAATTTATAATAAATAAGTTATCTTAATTTAAAAAATATTAAGATTGTTAAAAATAATAAATTAGTGGAAAAACATTCTTTAACATAAACATAACACTTTATTAGCTGCGAAGTTGTAAATGGTCGTGACAGATAAATAAATATCGTGCTGTGGGTGTCACGGATGAGATTAGCCTAAATAAAGACAGCTCTAACATCATCATAATGTGTTGGTTATTAATTATGTTAACAACAATAACACTACAATACTCGACTCTTACCACACCAGAATAATTATAATTTAATGTTTTTACCCTTCGATAAATAAGTACATATCAAAGATTTTTTTTTATAATTAACTCTTACTTTTGGTTGGAATGGTCCCAAATGATTAGGGGGCACAAACGGTGTGGGCCCGGCCGTTAGGCCTGGGTGTAGAAGACTAGGAGTGTACCCCGGGTAATTGGACATAGCCATATTTTGACGGTAGAAAGGCGATTCCACGGAGCCCAACTTTGGGATGTCCTTGAACTGCAACAAAAAAGAACAAATTGATACGTTAAAAAATGTAAAGTAGATTTAGATAGAATTAAAAGGGAACCAGATAAAAACGATCCCATGACGTTTTCAATTGGTACACAATAAAAGAAATCTAAAAGAAGATAACACTGAATAACCCTCGTCTTCTTTTTGTGCCCTTTTGTGTCCTATTGATTTATTTATATAAAAAAAAACCTGTTTTTTTTATCCATTTTATGTCTTCCAATCTTGATTGCTACAATTCTTTATTTTTAGAATGAGAGGAATAAAAGAATAAAAAATAAAGTTTTCTATTTAAAAGTAAAATAAACATTCTACACTTTATTTAACTTATTTATCAGACTTTTCTTCTTCTTCTTTTATCTTTTCCATCATTTCCTTTTGTTGTTTCGCTAATTCCTTATGAACCTTAACTTGATCCTCATGATATTTAATTTCTCTATTTAATTCTTCCTTTAACTTAGCTATTTGCTCCTTTTGCTTCTTATAAAAGTACTCCTCCTCCCTCGCAACTTGCAATTTACCAAAAGCACCACCCGCGTCTCGTATAGAACCACCACCCCCACCACCTTTCCCAGCTCCACCTCCAGGACTACCACCATGCCCTCCATCCTCTGAATCAGATCCCATATATCGAGATGTACAAGTTACGGGAATTCTTTTATGTTTTATAAGAAAAAAACAACGCATCTTATTTCGATGGGAAATTTTGATTTAAAAAGAAATATTTTTTTTGTTTATGAAATTTTTATGTCATGATGATGTTGCAAAATGATAGATGTCAATCAAATGATTTAATGCAAACTTACCAAAGGAGAAGGAAACAACGTAGACGCTGGTGGTGGTGGTAAAAGACTCGTCGTATGTTGATGAACGTGCGTATGATGGTGTTGATGTTGGTGCATTTCCGTCCGAAGATACGGCGGTGGCGCCACATTCAAAGAACGATCCTGCGTCGCCAAAAACCTATTATCCAATTCCCTCCGAAGCATGTCCGCTTGGTTCGTTTGGAAGAGATTCTCGGCAGAAAACGGGTTCGGATTTGGAGCAGACGACGCGGGCGGTTGCGATGCCACCGTCGGTGCTAACGGCGACGCTCGCGCCACCGAAGACGATGGCGGAAGCGGTGCTGCGAACATCGGCGGTTGCGTGAACGATTGGTGTAGTGGCGGGGTTGGTCGAGGCGGAGGCGCGGGGCTCAATTGAGTGGCTTGAGCCGCCCCCGACCACACTTTATTTAAGCTTAGACTAGACGAAGACACCGTGGTGGCTGCTGGCGTCGGTTGACCCGGTTGGGGTTGAGGAATACCACTTGATGTTCCTTGCGGGGTCGCTACACTGCTCCGACTCAAACTGCTTACGTTGCTGCTGTTGAAAAACAGAAAAATTATTACTTAGAATCTAAACAAAAAATTAATTGTTGATGGCAATTAAACCATAAACCCAAAACTAAGCAAAACTATTGTTAATAGGTATCTAGACGTTACTAAGAATTTTAAAATTTATCAAAAACTGTTTAAACGCTTTCTGAGTACTTTTGAAGATCCCTAGGCGACACTTATAGATGTCAAAATGTCTCTAGAAACTATCTATTGATTTAATAGATTATCCAGACATTTCGAACAATTTCCAAAATTATCAAGAAGCTTTCTGAGTACTTTTGGAGATTCCCTCATAAATGTCGAAAAGTCTGCGGAAGTTTATTAGTTCTTTTCTACATTTCCAAGGATTCCCATAATTAATAATTTTTAATAAAAATACGTCTCAAAGGCTTTTATAAAAGTTAATCAAGTTAATAAACCCTACCGGTATCAACATCCTCAAGGTGATTTACCTTTTTACGCTGCATGATACTTATCTATTCACTACTCTTGATTAATTAATTTATTATTGTATCATGTTTTTGAGAAATGTTTTTTTTATTGTGTATGGAATAATAAGGAGTAATGTGATATGTAAACTAAGATGTTGATTTCATTGAAAATAAGGTACCCTATAACAACTCAATAAATAAAAATATTAACACCTCAATGCAAACAAAACCGTTGATAAGCATTTAAATAAACAACGAAAAAATATAAATACTTAAATAAGTCCAAACTCGACGTATTTAACTTTGATATTAATGGAGATACAATCACTTCCGGTTTAAAACGTAACGTCAATTTTGACATATTTGTCATCTTCATTAAAAAACCTTTAAAATGAGTCCAAAGATGACGCACTTATCTTAAAAAAAAAAAAGGTTAGAATAAAAAACATTAAACCCGAAGTTAGCAACAATGAAGATAGCAATTTAATTTTTAAATGTTAATACCAACCTTAATTTTTGATTTTTTTTTATTATATTTTTGTTTTTGTGACAAATATTAAGACATTTTATAAAAATTAAGAATATGTCAAAATTGACATTCTTAACCGGAAGTTAACCATAACTTCATTAATATTGAAGATAAATATGTCGTGTTTGTACTCATTTTAAAGGATTTTTAATAAAGATTTCAAATATGTCAAAATTGAGGTTGACATTTTAAACCTGAAGTTAGTTATCATATAATAGAAGTTTTATAATTGAAGTTAATATAGTGTTAGTCACTTTTCCGCATTTTCTTTTTATTTTTAACGTGTTTTTTGATGCAATAATGATTTTTTTATATACTAACTAGTTTCGGTCACATAAACATCCTCAAGAGAATCGGAAAAATAAATTAATAATTTTTAGAGATGATTTATAAAAAACATTAAAACATGAATTGATTTAGCTGTTGACTAAATAATATTTAGTTGATTCATTTTATACGTGAATGCACTGAATAATATTTTCCGGGCGTTTTATGCATTACAAGTACTTTACATTATCGACAACAACCATGCGTCCACTGCATCAATAGAACCCATTGTTTTCAACTGCATTCAATGCTCATAATAGAACGAAATTCATTTCGTGCCCACTCAATATTCATAACCTTTTTTTTTTTAACAATACCAACCTGTAACTTTCCCTTTCCCTCGTCGGCGAATGCCCCCTTGGTGATGATGCGGTCCTACTGACCACCGTTGCCGGATGAACCGGATGTACCGCTTGAACCGTTGGAACGGAAGTCGTAACAACAGCGGTAACAGTCGCCGGTGGTTGGTGTACGGGGGCCGAATACGGTGTTTGGGAGTACGGTGTGTAAAGGGGTTGATAAGGAGCGTGATAAGCCGGTGCAGATGTTGCGACCGCCGGACTTTCCGTTCTGGACCGATTTGATGTTGGCGCCAAATCGTGGGGTGGCAACATTGGCACTGCCGGAGCCGGTTGTTGTTGCGGTTGTTGTGGTGGCACTCCGGGTCCGCCGATTGTTACCGGTGAATTTGGAGCACCCGTTAATTGAATATCCATTGCAGTTGCCTAAACGCCAAAAAATAATAAAAAAAATTTCGTTTATTACAATTTTTTTTACCGTAATTTTTTTATCAAGTGATATAGCCCTAGATATCGTTTGTGGGATCGGTGGGGGTGGTTTTTCTTCTATCCTAACGGCGGCCGATGCCGCCGTATGTTGCGGAGGCGGTGGAGGAAGTTGCGCGGGTGCCGGAAGCGGTGCCGGCAAGTCGGGGGGCGTCGGCGCCGGCACCGGGGAGTTACTCGTTCCATTGCTCAAAGGGAGGCTCGGAGGTAAAGCACCCGGAAACTCGTGTTTCCGAGACGCCGGGGCTGAACCGAATATCACCGAACTCGCATCGGAACCCTATAAGAAAAAGCAAACAAAAAGATTAATTAAAAATTAATTAATTAACGAATAATTCTAACAATAACTCATTCATATTATCAAAGTGGATAATAAACAATTATTTTTTAGGAAATAGAAGATAAATTTGGATTATTGTACAAAGTACAACGACAAACAATAAGTAATTAATTCAAGTACTTTCAGAAACGCTCGAGTACTTTCAGAAGCTTTTTATTATCTAAACCGATTACATTTTATTTTATTGACGACCACTTAAACTCTTTCCAATACAATGAAGGGATAATACCTATTCAACGCGACAAAAAAATGTAGCATTTAATTTTAAAAGAAATATTACTCCGGGAATGTGCCGCCAACCTTCACGTTAATATTAATACCCTACAGAATGCTATTTTTGTTTAAAAGTGGGCGGTTAAACCACGAGCTAACAGACATCTATTTTAAAATTACCCGGAGATGTTTTATCTTGCAATAAAAATCGTCATATTTAATCCTAAAATTTATTCAATTATTTAATCTAATTTATTTATTCATAAATTCAAAAAAAATATATATATATTTTCGCATCCCCTTTTTCACAAGCCATAAAACCGTTCACACCCGTCATTGTTATAAAAGATAACGTGTCTCGTATAACAACACAACGCAAGGGATACATTGGATGGTGTAGGTTGGGGATGAATCATCCGGTTCGCAACCGCAGCACAGTTATGATAATGTCCCTACCACAAATCCGCCGCTTGGAAACTAATACGACAACCCAATAAATGTGTAATAGTGGGGTTGAAAGGTAGGGGGCGCGCTACCGGAGACCACCCGAACGAAGAGAGTATCAGGGGGGAAAAACGATGGGGACGATATCGATCTTCATCCTGAATTTTTCGTTGTTCCGGAGTCGCGTGTGACCGAGTTATTTTTTTGTCATAAATGTTGAAGTTATCACTAATATTTAAAAGGGTGGTGATTAAATTTAAATTGTAACTGTAACGGTATTCACGTGTTGAAGGTTTCAAAAAAACCGAAAAGACAAATTTAGAGAACATTCGGAATCATTCATAGTAATTGGTAAACAATACAAAGCATTAGGAGTATCATTGGGAATATTAGGGGTTATTGAGAGCCATTCGGAGCAATTTTTAGTTATTAAGAATTATTTAAAACAATGCAGGTTGTTGCAAGTCAAAGCAATTCGTTCCATTAACATAACTTTGTTGATTACAAAATCAACAGATGAAAGTGTCTCCTTATTGAAAGCCATTCGGTGTAATTAGGAACCATCACAAAGCGTTAGGAATCACTTAGACTAACTGAAGCATTTGGAAACCATACAAAATTGCTACGTGTAGTTGGTTGCCAATGAATAAAATTGAGAGTACTACGTTCCGAGGTATTAGGAACCACTTAAAACCATTCGGAGTAATTGGTAGTCAATAAGATGTACTGAAAGATTCGTTAGGAGTAATTGAGAACCGTTTGGAGTAATTAAGAGGACATTAAATGGATATCTGGATTACTTAGAGCAATTATGAATTATTCAAAACCATTCAAAATCACTCGGAGCAATTGAGAAATAATTTATGGTAATATCGAGTTATTGGAATTCATTCAAAATCAGTCGAAAAAATTGGTAATCCTTGAAAAGTATTGAAAATATCATTAGGAGTAATTGAGAGCCATTCGGAGTAATATATCTCTTCGAGATTGTTTAGAGCAATTATAAATTATTGGAATCCATTCAAAGTCATTGGGAGTAATCATGGTAATCATTGAGAAGTACTGGAAGTATCGTTAATAGTCATTAGGAGCCATTCGGAGTAATTGAGATTTATTCAAAATCACAAGAAGCAATTATTAGCCAATAAAAAATATAAAAAGTGTCATTGGGATCCATTAAGGAATGTTAAGGTTATCGTGAGTAATTACGAATTATTGAGAACCATTTTGAACCACTTGAAGCTTGGTATCTGGAGTATCATTAGGAGTTATTGGAAGTCATTCGTAGCAAATGTTAAGGGTTATTAATGTTGATTGACAGAACGTAAAGGCAAGCACTGAGTGATAATCTGTATCGCGTATTTCGTTAGCTAGTAGGTGTTCTAGTTGGTTTCCTTTTTGTGATAATCCTTGCATGTTAATGTTTATTATTTGCAATTGTTTTGGTGTTTTTGTAGCTTATTGTATGCGTTTTTCTTTTCTCATTTTGAGTAATAGTTAAGTCTCCTGTTTCTTGTTGTAGATTCTTTCTAAAAAAACTATTTACTCGTACTCCAGATGGCCATAATTCGGGTTGTTTTGTTTTCTCTAGTGCTATATATATATATATATATATGTCAAGACCAATATATTATAAAAGAAGATGGTGTCGTGGACGAACGACCACAATGCACGTTACAATTTCGTAGATAATAACGAGTGTCTCATGGTGTGAGTTTCGTCAACATTCCAAGAAGTACGGAAATATCGTAACGCCATACTGGGGTGAGTTCAAACACTTCCTACACTAGGTAGCCTAGTACACACAAATCTAACGAAAGTATCTTGAAAATTATGATTCCAGAAAATGTGGAAGAATCAGCAAATCTTGTTCCGCTAATAAAATAAACTGATATGTTGTTTTGAGTGGAGATAGGGCTGGAAATTATTCATTGATACAGTGTAAGTTGTTTTCTGTAAGTAGGTCTAGGTTCTAGGAACAGTATCTTATCTATGGAAGTAATGTTTACTTTTCTAAAAGGAAAATTTAGTCCATTCGCAGTATCTAGTCTTCTGGAAGCAGTAGTTACTCTTCTACAAACAGTATCTAGTCTTCTCAAAGCAGTGGGCAATGATCTATATGCAAATCTAATCTTGCATTGGCAGTATGGAAGCAGTAAATAGTGTTCTGGAAGCAGTATCAAGTGTTCTGCAAGCAGTGGGGATTTTCTAAAATTACATTAAGATATTTGATCCATGTCGACCAGTTATTTTCTGGTCGCAAATGAAACTATTAATTATAGAAGCAGTTTAATAAGATATTTAAAATCATAAATTGAGTTCATACAAAAATATCCTCAATTCAAGTTCAATTACACTGTTATAGTTAGACGTTAAATCTTGAATCTCGAAGATATTATTGAAGCAGTAGAATTCAATGGGTACGTACAACTAGCAATTTGCAAGCAGTTAATATAAATAATTGGCGTTTAACTGGCATCAAGGCTACCAACGGGCGATCTGAAAACTTGCATGAGTAGTAGTACGGGGCCTTTTTCATATAATTTACGACGCCATTAGTTATTAACGACTATAATCGATGCAAGCTGGCAATTTTCCTTAATTAAAGGTTAAACCGATAGTTCGCTAAACGCAACTTGTATTTATTTATCAAGGCCAAACAAATATTAAAAAAAAATGGTAATAAAATGTTTCAATAAAAATTTAATTTTCGTTTTAACATCAAATGTGATAATTAATTAAATGGTACTTCCTTCATCGATGTCAATTACACGTCAGTTACGTCGACGGCCTCCCAAACCCGAACTAACTTAATTACACAGCAATTAGTGTGAATGCTAATGGGTTTGAGACGCCTTGTACCCAAACACACACCTCTTTGTTAATCAAAGAAGTGAATTTACGTTTACACAATTTTCAAAAGTGACATTTTCTGGGGTTATGTGTTTAAAAGGAAAATGCTTTTCGCGTAATTGCATTAACAGAAGATAAGTGTTAAATTTGAATAATTAGCGTTCAAATTGAACCAAGGCTATTAAATGGTTATTATATTTTTTTGCGTAATCATGGATTAAAATAATTCCAGTATCGTTTAGGAGTATCGTAATGAATGCAATAGCCGCGGATAATTATATCAATTATATCGAGTTAATTACATTTACTACTTCATGGAGATCGTTTTTTAACATTATAAACACGAAACTTTCTCTCGGCCTCAATACTTAATATAAAAAAATATAAAATTATTTATAAATTTAAAAAGAACTGTTTACTTTTATTTACGCGATACATATAGGGCTTAACAAATGATTGTGTATATTTACGATAGAGAACTCGGTTTAACGATTTATTGCAATATTACACACTGTTTATAATAAACCTGGGTAATAGTCTCTTTTATGACGACATTAATTAAAACGGGTTTTAATGTAAATTAACAATATGTGCTGGACGTATAAACCGAAATTGCTGGTAATTATTTTGTTAATAAATTGACGTAAACATTTAACTAAAATTAACGTAGTTATAAACATAAAAGTGTTTAAAAATAAACAATTATAATCTAAAAAAAAATTGCGAAATTCCTCTGATGATGAGGGTATTTATCCGAAACCGGTGAGATTAATTTATCTCAAGATAGCCAAGATTAGCTCTAAGATTAGCGCCGATCTAAGAGGGTGATTTAGGAAAGTCCTTTTAATCTCATTTTATGCGTTATGGCTTAACCCAACTGATCTGTAGTTTGAGTCAGTGGCGTTATAAATTAATAATCATAATCGAGCGGGGATGATTTAATGGCCACCTTAATCTCTAGAGTTACAGTTATGTAGTCGAAATGTAACACTCTCTGTTTTTGACCTTATCTAACTTCGCAAAAACGCCTAACTTTGTTGTTCCATCGCCAAATTTGGATTGCGTATACTCCTCAACTCAGCCATAACTTGAATTGAGATAGTGAGTTACTTTATTTAATATATGCAAAATTTGTCTTTCCAAAAAAGTGGCATATTTCGGACATATTAAAAAGATACTTCAAACTACCACTAGGATCTATTAGGAGCCATTCGAAACCACTAGATTTCTAAGTAGATTCTTGGTTGTTGTATTACCGCCTATTACAATAATTAACTAGATAGCGGTATGTGTTAATATTATAGATCCATATGGTATCATTCAGAGCCACATCCGTTTCCTTTGGCATGTTTAGCACCAGCACTTTTATAGACCATTACGTTAGCAAAAACAGTATGTCTATAAGCTGCAACTATGATCACAACGTTTGT